CCGTCCATAGCAGCGTCGTGGTTTTTACCATCCGTCTATCTGGTGGCCACGGATCGAAAACCAATCCAAAGCTCAAAGCCTTTGTTTGTGTGTTTGGCGGTGCACCGGTGCACGTTGGTTCGGCATGTTCAGACATTGTTGGGCCTCGTTGCTTCGGCCAGTTTCGAGGCGAGAAGTACGGCGTCTGTGTTTGTTGCACGTGTAACTGTAGCATTCTCCTGTTCACTGGCTTCGCGGCACAATGCCGAGCTCCAAACCTCGAAAGAGGTACTTTCAGGTGTTCCTAAAGTCCTACACGTCGAAATTTCCGTGCTTCGTGCCGCCCAAAAAGCGAGAGAAGTTTGGATTCTGTAGCACGTGCACGTGTGATGTAAGCGTTTCGCACGCTGGCCCGGCTGACATTAATCTGCACATTGCTTCGCGTACCCCCCCCCCCCCTCCCCTCCCCCCCCCCCCCCCCCCCCCCCCCCCCCCCCCCCCCCGCCGTGGCTGCGGGACTTTTACGAATTTGAAAGTCGACAGGTTGGCAGGTATGCCAATTCAGCATAACACTTCATTGGCCACAAACGACAGCAAACACGGGGTAAAGATCAGTTCAGAGCGGGAGCCACTTCGCGCTGCCATACCGCCAAATGGCCAAATCGCCAGCAAAGCCCACGCCGAAAGCCTTCGGAACGCTCGGAACCGCTCGGATCCTTGAGCCGGTGTATGACCGCAGCGCCGCCGCGTACATCTGGGACCTTTCTACGCGCGCCGTTCGTTGGCGCCTCATCCCACTAGACCTTTCTAGTATGCGCCGTTTTTTCCACCGCTTGGTGGCGGGTTTGTCGACGGGTCTTTTCTTGTTTCCGTACTTTATAAACTGTATTTGTTTCTTTTCTGATATAAAATACTGAACAAAAACTACTTTCATAAAGAATTGAAACGGTTCGCGCCACCTATATTTTGTATCTCGACTAAAAAAAAAAGCTTTTAGCGGCTCTGACCAGTAGTAAGCCCAGGACCAAAGACGTCACATATCGCGCGCTTTCGGCAACGCGGGTCGCCCTCGTCGGTGGAGGGGGTTTCTGCATCGTCCGGTTAAAATATGACGCACTGATATTTAGTTACTCTCTCCGTGCCCGCTGGCTTGCCCGAACCCCAAGAGACGTGGAAACCGCAAAAAAGGTAGACGCTTAAATATGGTTGCAGGGCCCCTTTAAGCCAAGTTTTGGCGGCACGGCGTATGTTCAAGAGCGCAGATATGTCGCTGACAAATGACTCGCGTGTCATTGCAAGCCATTTTTCAGCTTATTGAGGGGTTGTGTGAGGATACCAAGAGGCACAGCGGAGCTTTCATGATCATGGCATTTAACGAATCATCTTCATTTTCGGCGTTTGCGTCTTTTAGAAGAGGGTCGAACATTGTTGTGCCAACCTCATCCAGAAACGCTAAGCTGATGCTCTGCCGCAGTCTCTTCCTCTGATGTGTATTCTTTTAGGCCGTTGGTCACACATTCTTTTCTTTGAGAAAAATGTAGAACAAAGACTCGGAGACCTCAGTGTTTGTTGTACTGTAAACTGACTTTATTTTCGCGGTCACGTAATTTCGTGGATTTCGGGAATATTTAGCGGTCACGGCATTTTACGATTGGAGGCGATTTGCTATGTACTGATTGCGACGGAGTGATGTATTTGTGTGATCAATTTTTCTCTGTATTTTTAAATTGTGAAATTTAGTTTTTCGCAAAAATCTGTCCGTTTTAGTATTTGATGCAGTTGCTGAAACATACTTCATTTTCTAATAAAAAAGCTAAAAAAAAGAAAGAAGCATATACTGTAAACAACTTAATTTTCGCGGGCTCAATATTTCGCGATTTAGGTCAAAGCTGAAGTTTTGGAATAATTCGGGGGTTCTAATTTTCGCGATGCGGTGTGATCTCAATATAGATTCCAATGTGTTTACATTTTACCGGAATTGTTTGCGGGACCTATTTTTCGCAAATTGTAGACGATTCGCGAAATTTAGGTTTTTGTGAAAATGAAGTCGTTTACAGTATTTAAAATAAAAAACCTTAAGCAAAAAAAAAAAGTTATCGGTCATAAAAAAAATTTGTCGTTGGTGTATCCTTATCGGTAAAACGCTTTCTAGACAGTTGTTGAATGAACGAACCACGTGAGTAACTTCGATGGGGAAAGCAGGCCAGCGTGGCGAGAAGAACACCAGTTTGGCTTTCTTCAGTTTTAGTTTATACTCGCTCAGCTTAAGGGGGGACACTGGCTAGAGGTTGAACTTTTGAACTACTCAGGTGATCAGAATGAAATTAGCAGGGGAGATTTAACTTCAGATGTAGGTGTACTGTGCAAACTTTCAGCTCGCTAGAGCAACTTTACATACCTGCATAAGAAGATGCATCACTCTTCATTAAGAAATCTATGATATGCAAATGAAGCTATTAAGCACCATTTTAACTGCTTGAGTATAAAATGGGGGACGTGGGACTTTGGGCTATCTAGTTTTTATAACTTAAATGTAAATATTTCAGGAAGGGTGATTACCTCAAAATAGGAGATGCATATCTGTCCTATGTCAATTTTTGAAAACATTGTTTTTTCTCAAGGAGGACTTTAATGTAAAACAAAATAAAGTAGATAGCCCGATTCCTCAGTAAATTTCAGTTCAGAAACATCTTGATTGTGGTATCAAAATCATTTTACCTTCAAACAAAAGATTCCTTCGTATGAAATTTGCAGCAAAAAGTGGAACTGAGAAAAATGCATTCGAACATTGAACTCCTTTACTTTGTTACTGCCTCACAATGTGTTGAAAATATTTTATATCAACGTAACTATTTGGCGCATGGTTTTGAAATTTAGTGTAAGGGTGTATAATTAGTTTCTAAAACCGAAAACCTCAAAATTGAAAAATGAATTTTTTCAAAACATTTTGAAGCTCAGGCCCATGTTCCCCCTTAAAGCCGACGGTGCGGTGGGAGCTACATGCTGGCCGGACCATTCAACCGCTTCCTTTCTTCTCCTGATCCCGCTCTCTGCACGTAGGAATGGGCGTAACCACATGGGGAAAGATAGGCGTACGACTGGTCCGACGAGCACGTAGCACCCACGGCACTGTTGGTACTTCAAGTCCGAGGGAGGCTAGCATCAAGAGGGGGAAGTGGGGAAGAATGAAGGTGCGGCTTCTGCATTGCTTTTTGTGATTACTAACTGGCCGCTAGACTAACCTTTTAAAATCCTAAATAGCGACATAAAAAGGAGGGGTTCTTTCCTGTTGCAGGAAAAATGGCGAGAAGAAAATCGAGGACCAAGCTTCCTTTTTTCTGCTGGTTGGTCAGCCAAGGGGAAAGAATTTGTATTATTTACAGTATCTGAATTAAATTTTCATAGTTTCTAGTGCTTATTCTCCTCTTTATAAATCTGATTTAGCTGGTTTTTTATGTTCTGGATGCAATAGACATGCAGAAAACACCTTCTTGTGCACATGTGGGGCATGGCAACACTTAAAAGAGCATAGTAAAGTTTCTGGACTACAAGTCACACTTCCCTATATATAGCCATTTCCGCGGAAAAGTTGGTATATAAGTCGCACCTCTTTGCACAGTTCACACAATGAATTCTTTTGTTTTACTCGCATCTGTATCACGAAATCTGAGTTTCGCACAATTGGCTGGTTCACACATACCGTTTGACGCGCAACAACTTCGACGTTTCGACTCGGGAGAAATGCCCAAATCACGGCACTGCCTGGCGGGGGCAATCATTTGTTTTGCAGAAAAAGGAAGTAACATGCACAAAATGAGAAGGTAGTCGGCTTTATTCGAGTGTACACATAAGCAAACTGAAGTTTTAACGTGCCAGACACTTGTGAACCAAGCTTTGGACCAAGGCACGGAGACAACACGAGCATTAACGTGCAGGCAGATAACTAAATCTTAACATGCTTCTTTCGGTGCCACTAAAAAATCGGCTAGCCACAATTGGAGCATGGCAGAAAAAAAATTGCTCATCAAACAGAAACTAAGAAAGACGTGAGAAAAGTTTCTGCAATGGGGGCGTGTTACCTTTTAGTGTTACTGGACTGAAGCGAAAGAATACAGAAATATGGTTGAATTGGGGCAACGTCGATTACATGCTGTAAGAGCTTTATTCTCACTGCCTTTTCTATCCCGATTGAGCCTCTTCGGGGAGACAGTAAAATTTCTCGCTGAGTCAGTTATCAAAAGTGTAAAGTGCAGCCACAGCATTGCCTCCTGGAAGGGGCAACATCACCTATGGCTACATAGTTATGGTGCTCTGCGAAAGATGGCATGCGGCGAATAAATAAATGGCGCTGCACCATCAATATATCTTTTTTAAAAATGCATATAAGTCGCATTGTTGTACAAAACGCACAAAGAAAAATGTTCGAAAAAAAATGCAACTTATACACTGGATCTGATTCGCTCCTTCTGACCACCGAGAGCAATAACTAACAAAAATAATTTATGCGAGACTTGTTTTATTCTAAAATTTAGAAAAATTGCAAAACAGCATTTTTAACGGACTAACAAAAGTTTTCTCAAATTTTTTATAAGTATAAAAAAAAATATACATTTTCGCCAAACCTAGGTAGTTGCATTCTACATATTCTAAAGCATGCATGCCAAATTTGGAAGTTTTAGGGGCGAAGCTCCTTAGGGGTCTAAGGAGCTTTGCCCCTAAAAGATCCCATTTCACTTGTTACAAAAATATGTGAAACATCACCGTAAAACACCAAACCAACCAATCACCTATATTTGGAAGGTCATTGTCACGGAGCGACGAGTGGGCACTTACTCAACACGGATCTATCATCTGTGGTAAAATTTGAAATTGTCCAAACATAGGCGTATGCTCAGCATTCTATGCTCAGTTGGTTCATGGAATATACTTGCATGTGTTCGAGTCTTTGCAACCTCTAAGATAAGCATACCTGTGCACATTTGGGGTCCTGACATCTTGTTATGTTGTTGCTTGAAACCCAGCTGACCTCTTACCAGCACTGCGATGTTGCCCTGGGTCCCATTGAACCATCCAAGCGACTGCCTGGCATCACTCATGTCTCGGAAAAGTGGTTACTAGGTCAGTACTCAATTGGTTATGCAAAAACGTCTAGCAGCTGCCCGAGTTGGCCATATGGACATTTCAGACACTCCTCTTGCATGATTGTTTCAGATTTTACAGCTGCTTGTGTAGTTGTAAAGCATAAACGACTGCCTGCAGATTCGGTGCTTCTTGCTCCTCATCTACAAACTACTACTAAAGCTGCTGAGAATATCTACTATTAGATGTGGTCAATAGCACTGTGTATGTGTGTGTGTGTGGGGGGGGTACTGTGCTAGTGTATTTCTAAATTTATTACCTTGGCTTGAGAGAGCTTAAGAGATGGGGATACAAAATGTGGGGCAAATAATTTCAATTTTCATTCAATTTTTATTTTTAGGATGTACTCCTGAAAGCTAACTTGTTTTTTATATTTTAAGCGTCGACACTTGCGAAGACGTTTAATTTTTGTTTTACTTAAAGGGCAACTCCGCTCAATTCCGAAAAATTTAGGCTTCCATGTGATTCACATTCACAAAGCACTACTAAACAACTCTACGTCTAAGGATTCGCGAAATGTGGAATATTATTTGTGTAATCCTAATTTAAACATCAGCTGATACCGAAACCGAAACTTCGGTTGCGTCAGGCAACATTGGTCTCGGGTCGTCAGAGTCATGGCACGTCACGTCGAACCACGTGGTCTTGCGACGTTCGGGAGAGAGCAAAAAACCGAGCGAGGTCTTTTTTTTTTTTTTTTTTTTTTTTTGGACGCGGGCAGGTCGCTTTGCATGGCGTGGACGGTGATGGCCCGGGGGCGAGGGGGAAGGGGAGAAGACGAAAGAGGAGAAAAGGAGCGGAAAAACAGACCGATAAGCGCGCAGGGCAGCGCATCCCAGGCGCATCCGGTCAGCTAACACCGGGAGGAGAAACTCATGACGTCATCGCTCAATTTCGCTCTGAGAAGTAAAAACAAATAAAACGTGAGAATGACGTACGCATGCCTCTGACGTAGTGGTTCAACGTTGGCCGCTCCATCTCCGTGGCATTGACTGTGCTGATTATTGCGCCTCGCGCCGCACGCTAGAGTTGGCAGATTTCGGCGACTTGGCTCGCTTGAAGGTTTGCTGGCCAGTTTATTCAATATATAAACGGAATTAGATCATAATATTTGACACAGGGTCTTCCTATATGATACTGAAGAGGGCTACATAGTTTTCTAAATATCAAAAATGAAGCGGAGTTGCCCTTTAATTAAATCCCTGGAAATCTTCTCAACCTTATAAAATGTTGTATTATGATTATTGGTTAGATACATATTGTGCAACATTAAACATAAGACTCTTGTTCTTTTTTGTTTCTTTCAGATTCTGTATCTGACTATTCTGACCAGTTGTACACCAGATACACGAGCGACTGACAGATTCCACCGTACCTTCACCTTCACCTTGTGGTCTCATGGACAAAGCAGTGGACTGCTGCTATTGACAGAGGATTGGCAGGGTTCCCACCTCTCCTTAAAGGGTAACTGCAAAGGAAAAAAAGGGTTTTCTTAAACAGCTTATATCGGACAAGCATGTTACAAAACAAATCTTCCGCGAAAAAAAAATTTTTTCTAGCAATATTTACGCTGCAGGACATAATTTAGTCGGAATCACTACTTTTCCACATTTGAAACTCCCGCTCTTTAGACGCACGCGGTGTGGCTGCTATAAGTCACTCCGTGACTTATAGCAGCCACTACGTGACGTATAATACCAACTTTGTGGCGCACAATTTAAAACTGACGAAATAGCCACAAACTAAAATCAGTCTCGCGCAATAAATATTGCTGTAAAAAATTTTGTTTTTGGCGGAAAAATTGTTTTCTGACATGCTTGTCCCAATTAGGCTGTTTAAAAATACACTTTTTTTTCTTTGCAGTTAAAACACTTCAAAATTTGAAATTGCCATTCTCAGGGCCTTCGAAGTTTTTGAATTTCATTAAAGGGGGAAACTACCCAGAAAAAACTATTTCTGCAAAAAACGGATTTTGAAAAAATGCCATATTTACATCCACCAACATCTAGAGAGTATTCCCAGAAAGTTTCATTAGCTTGCATTGCTTAGTTAATTTTTTATTAATTATTTTTGGTCCATTGCTGCTGAAGAAAAGATAAGGGTTGGGCACTTTGCATTTTTCTACAATCCACTTTTTGCCATAAATTTCACTTTAGGAACACTATTGTTTTCCTATTACACATTAGAAAATTATTTTTAGGTGGTTTTCTGGGATAGAATTTTGTGAGGAACATGCCTGGCTGGTTAGTTTTTTTACTTTAACATTCTTTTATTCTAAAAAAAACATTTTTAAAAAAGTGCAGACATGAAAATTTTTTGTAAATCATCTTATGGAGTTATATTTATGAAATACAATGCAATATAGCAAAATAACTAGCTGGGTATGTGCTATGGGCATTCCTATAACTATATTTCACATAAAAATTGCACATTTTTATTTTATTTTAATACAATAGTTTTCCTAAGCGAACACACTGACTTCCATATTGTAACACGTCTCAGAATTGACATAGGACAATGAAATTCGGCAGGGGTGGTCTTGCCATTAATATAAACTTCCACTGCAAATTTGATTGAAATCAGACAAGCGGTACTCCAAAACTTCAATCTAGTGGACGAAAGATTGGTATATCCTAATTTGGCTTGTGTGTGTGTGTGTGTGTGTCCGACCTACGATTTCAAATTATTTCCTTAATTCCGAAACAATTTCTACTAACTAAAAACTACTTCAGAAGAACAGTGCTCATCACTGTTGATTTAAAATTAATGGGATCCATGTTGTTTCAGGAGACTTTAAAAATCTCAACAACGAAACCGTGCTTTTTTTTTTATGGACATTTCATATTGCACGAATTGAAAAGTTTAGAGGATACGGTCGAAGGAGCAGGTAGTGGACTCGGGGGCCTAGATTCCCTGTGAAGTCTTCATTGGAAACTCGCGATATCTGTAAAAATATTTTCTGAAATGCTTCGCATTCTGCTGGAGTTTTCTAACTTGATGTTGTGCCAGCATCAAGCCTTTTTTTTTATGTCTACCCAAGTGTTCATTATTTTTCTTTATGATTTAATCATATTTGTGATTTATTTTCAAGGGTTTACATACTGATATTTGTCCTCATACTGTAGTCTTCAACATAGTTGAACACTGTTCTTGTATGCAACTTTAGGACACAATTTTATGTTTGTGGTGCCTGAAGTAGTGACTGTTGATAGATCTCACTCCTATCAGGCCACTTCTCTAATTATGCTAGAGTCACGAAGTTTCAGTCGTGTGTATGTTTGCATGCTTAAACAATGATTCTGGCTTTACTTTGGCAGCTGGTTTGCCATCCAGCTTTGACAACTCTTTGGTTGAGAAAATTTTACATCTGTGCTGTCTGACATGATATTATGTAAGGGCCCATTGCCACTTCTTTGAATGAATTGTAATAAATTTCTGCTTTTTCTAATGTAGTGTTTAATTTTCATTTAAAACATATTTATTAAAAGGCTGTGAAAACACTAATGTGGTCTGCGCACATGTTATATGGCAAGGGGGACATAGCATAGGGGGCTGATTGCCATAATAAATAGAATAATTAACTAAAATCTGCTCATTTATTTTTAATTGGTGAAACTACTAAACGTCTGGTTCAAATTAGAAACTTGCCGAGCGTCACCGAAAACCACCCAATCAGTCAATTTTAGAAACACGACGTACGTGGTGCTAAAATTGCTGCTCATGACGCAGGCTCAAAACTGGCAATACAAAAACGCAGATGATAATCTAATTGCCCACATTTTCACATCACTAGCCTTGTGCCTGCTGCACGGGGGGTAACTTTAGCACACACACACCCCTACACTTCTCACATGCTTCAAGTATTTCTAAAATTGACTTATTGAGTGGTTTTCAATAACACTCAACAAGTTTCTAATTGGAACCATGTTTATTTTTATTAATTCTAAGGTTAAGTAACAAATTTTAGTCAACTATTAGACTTTTCGTTACGATTAAGTCCCTATATTATGTGCCTCTTGTAGTATAACTTGCCTTTTCAAAGTGTGTACCTTCAGTGTCTTTTATTATTTTAATTATTGAACAATGATTTCGCTTTTATTTTATTTTTTAGTTCAGCTTTAATGGACAACTTTGCTCAATTCAGAAACTTTGAAGACGTGCGCTTTGGTATAAAAGTACAATTCGTCTACTCAATGTACCAGTGGCTGGAACAAAAAAATAAAAAGTGCTCGGTGCAGTATGCCGTTGGAAGCCAGGTTAAAATGAACTAGTACCACACGTTTATTCACGGAAGTCCTTTGATCAGCGTCACCAGAGTTGCTCTATAGCAGTGTCCAGAGCATCTGCACTTCCTCCTCTTCAGCCGATGGCACACCCATTCATTTGTTTCTATAGTACGAAATTTCTTGTATGTGCCAATGGCTCGTGGGTGTGTAGGCCCTTGTGCCCACTAAGTAACAGGTGTGGTTTTGCAGAGCAACTAATTTCTAGATGCACTGACAGATACTGCCAATACTTGCCGAGACTGGCGGAGCCATTTTGATCTGTTGTGTGTTGTCTTAAAAAGCAAGGAGGCAGAAAATGTCGCCGATAGACAGATGAACGAATACCAGTGACAACTAAACTCAGTGTCATCTACTTTGCGCTACATGTTGGGGATAGCATACCTTGCGCAAGCTCGTGCTCTTGAAGTAGTGCGGGGCAGCAGCACTAGAAGTTGCACTAGCCTTAACAATGTAGCACAAAATAGTTGACGATCGATATATGCATAGTTGCACTAGTCCTGTGCAACAATTTAAGCTCGGCAACATTAATTGGTCTTGAAGGTGCACTGAAGAGCTTTTATGACTGCCCTTCTAGGGCTCTGGCTTGCTTTACTTGCTTAAAGGGATACTACAACGAAATTTTGGCGCTTATTTTTTGGTCTATATGCGTTCAAAGGACCAGTATCAGATCGGACACACCAATATCCTGTTAAAGAAGACAAGAAAAGGAATTTTAAAACAAATTAAATGATTAGCAAAGAGCACCTGGCGGATGTCGCTAATGCCTCGTTTGTAATGCCCGTCTAGGAACCTTGACAGGTAATGACGTTAACTGTCTCGCCTCCGGCCACCACGAGAGTAGAAGGGAAGGAGGAACTCCCCTCTCCTCGAGAATCTCTTTTGTGAGTCCCAGAAGTCGCTATTGTCCCTCTACAAGATTATAGAAGATTAACCCGTCACTCGAAATTCGTACAAAAGCAGCCGCTTCGGTGGCTGGAACGACTAGGGCATCCTCTCGACGTCAGCCTCGCCGCAGCTTTGCTCGTGCCGAGACGAACGACGTCACGATTGCGGGAGATGTCACGTGCTCTCCGCTGGCTGCCCTCCGAGTGCTTGCCACATTTGCCGTTTATAACGAAAAATACAGCCGCCAGGCTCAAAATAAAAACGTGCGATTGTCATTTATAGATATAGTCGACCATATTCAACCTATTTTTGAACACAACTGGTATATTTCAAATTTCGTTGAAGTATCCCTTTAATGGATCCTTTGCAATGATGCTAGCATAGATTTACCACCGAGCACGGGGGGGATGTGTGAAAGGAGCTGAGAAAGAGCAGTGTTGGAGTTAGCTCTAATCCTCCTCCTCTTGCACAGTTTGTAGATACTTTGACTCAATGATTACTGTCGCTCCCAGCGGTAGAGCAGAGTCTTATCAAAACTGCGTTCATGAGACGGAAAGTGATTGAATGCTATCTAATCCTTGGGGTGCAAGGTAGCTCAAGTGGGTTTCTTTCATATTTCACATCAACCCCCTACTCGGTCAATGCACTTTAAGAGCCCTGCTGTTTCATCCTGTCTTGGTCATTCTCATTCCCAAAACTTGATTGGAACTGCGTTCTAACAACAATCCAGGATGATCATATATTTAGGACTGCTCCTGCTTATTTCTATTGTTCAATGCCTGTTGTACTATTTATATAGTAGGCAATTTTATTTACTCTTTACTCCACTCTTGCTGAAGGTCCCAAGGTTACTGAAATAAATGAACTGCAGGTGTTCCACTTCTTTGCTGCTTCAACTCTTTGCTCCTTTGGGGCAGAAGAAAATAAATAAGAAGGATATCAATCTAATACCACATTTTAATGGGGAAGCATGGAACGCATTCTTGTAATTCATGAATTTTGGAATCCTTAGAGCATGCAAGTGAGGTTGGAACTCTAAAAAAAATTACTGTAAAATCCCGAGGGATGCCCCACTCCCGAAATGTAACCCACCCTTATTTTTGGCTTGATATGCTATCTTCTGTTAAACACCGAAAGAAGACCCATTCCTAGTAATCGTAGTGTTCGGATTCCATGGTGACCTTGGTGTAAATGCTCCTAGTGAAGTACAGTCATCTTTGCTTTATTGTCTTTTGCCACAATAACATGTTTGACGGACACACATGATCTAAAATTTTTTTTTTTCATCTTTTTTTTATTGCACGTTGAAAGTTGGCTTACTGTTTATTTTCACCCTATTTTCTCTCAATGTTAGGTGGGCTATCTCTCGAAATATTAAGGTAGGTTAAAAACATGTTTAAAAGGGCCATGAAATGATCTTTTAACTTCTTCCTCAGCAGTGATGGGAGTGCTGCACCAAATGAAGCCAAAGTGGCATTTTTGCTCAGAATTGCACCACACCTGCGCTGAGGTGGGCTTAAATAAAGCAAAAAATAAATATATTTCGTTGGTTTATCCTTATTTTCAGAGAAATAGAAGGGAAGGAAAATGGGTACAAACATGTATTTCACAGTGTCTCTAGCCACCGTATAGTATGTTTCATTTTAGGCCCAAGCATAGTTGAAAGCTCAGACATATACTATAACAAACACCCATACTAGAAGTGCAAGTCTAGGGGCATTCGCTGCACTTGGTTGGTTTAGCAGATAAAAGAGCATGTAGATGACTAATGCCATGATGCTACGTTTCAGAAACTGTTTGATTGGTTCCACTGGCTTGTAGTGTCGCCTGCACTTTGACCCGAGATGAAACTAAGTGTAGAGATTGCTTGTCAATCGCACTGGCCCCGTCACTGTCTGAATTTCCAGACGATGTCGGGAGCTAAAAGACTCAAGAAATATTTGCAAAATAGTGGGATGGCAGCTAGTGTGACTAGACAGAACCAGGGTCCTTTGCTCCTGACGATATACCGTGGCACTTCTGCCATTCGCATAAACCTTCTCAGCCTCACACCAGCACATGCGTCAAGCTTCACCGCTTTGCACCGGAGTGCTAGGAGCAGCAGCCGATTTGGGGAGCGCATAGATTAGCAAGATTGGCTCTGAAATTATGCTCCTCACTATCACAGGTTGACCTCTCATTTTAAAAAGCTGTGCTGAAAACGGACAAAAAAACTCTGGTCTATATTTGAATAAAATGCTAGTCGTTCCTGGGCAGCGGTCAATTCAATCAAAAGGGCAGCAAACTTTGACTCGACTCTGGTTTGAATGCCACTAAGGTGTCACTTTTAAAGAACAAATGTAGATTTTCATAATATATGTAGGTGGTTTTTTTGCAGCTTATTAAAATTAAAATCTTGAGTTTCGTATTCATAAACCTTGGGGGGGGGGGGGGGGGGGGGGGCATATTTTTATTGATAGACACATTATCGGATATGCTGATTTTGGGTGGCATTTTAGAGAAATTATATTTAGACTAAATCAACTACCGAGTAGAAAAGACTCAGGGAAAGAGGCCTTGCCTTAAAGGTGCACTCAAGTCTATTCTAAAAACGTCTATTTACCGCATAACTCAATCTATAGGCTTTAAACATCCTAAAAAACCCGAATTCACATTCAAGGGTGGCCGACTTTTCTATTAAAAATCCAACCAAAGATTGTTCCACGCCCCCCTTTCTGCGCCGTGGCACAGAACACCAGAGGGTGCCACCAGATGAGAAGGCAGCAGGGGAGGGCACACGACAGCCAATCACGGGTGACAGCTTCCCGGCGGACTAAATTTTCAAATATGCGCGCCTTCGAAAAATCAGTCCGCCAAGAAGCCGTCACTCATGATTGGCTGTCGCATGCCCTCCACTGCTATCTTCCTGTCCCATGGCACCCCCTGGTGTTCTGCGCCATGGTGCAGAAAGAGGGGCACGGCACATTTTTTGATTGGACTTCTAATAGGGAAATCAAGTGACGTGCTAACAAATTTTGGTGTCTGCTCCAAAGCCTCAGTGGCTACTCCAAACTAATATTTCACCTGCTACAAAACCTGCAGTGACGTGATTGGTCGGAGTCATTTTGGAGCTGCAAAAATCAATTTTGGAGCATAAACGCACACTTCATTTTCATTCATACCACTGCAAATATGTTAAGATTTGTTTGTTGACCTATCAACAGAAAGACGATGTCTACTTTTACTTCACACTTTTCTTGTTAACATCAGCTGTGCGTAAAAGCACCAAACACGGCAACAAGAAGCTAACTGATGAACGACAGTATATGAACTGCAGTGCATAGTTACTTTCGGTACAGAATCAAGGGTAAAGCACATAGTATATTCCACTGAAACAATGTTAAAATAGAACAACTTAGAGCACCCTAATTGATGTTCTCTTCAAATTCTAAACGATCTAATAAAACTGCATTATCCGATAAAAAACAAACAAAAAAATTTGTATTTGATTATGAACATCAATTATGGTATATATGTAGAACTTGTAACAAATAGTATATTCCACTTAAATAATGTTAAAATAGAACAACTTGGAGCACCCTAATTGATGTTCTCTCCAAAGTCTAAACGTTCTAATAAAACTGCGATATCCGATAAAACAAAAAAACTTGTATTTGATTATAAACATCAATAATGTTATATATGTAGAACTTGTAACAAAAATTGGCATGTGAATGATAAATATGCATTCTTAAAAACAATCCCACCGTGCTCAAGCTAATTTAGTTTTAATGTACTCTATTGACTGTGCCATCGAACAAATATGAAGCCACATAAAGGTAATAACTAAACAAGAGTTGACAAAAAATAAACCTATAGAGCAGTTTGTGCAAGTCTTTTCACAATATTCACTTATCCCTGTTAAATCTTGAATTTGAAAAACAGACCGTCGGAATATTGCAGTCAATTAGGGTCGTCGAGATAAATCTGGACGTTTTCCAGATTTCGTCTTTCAACAATACAGTGAAGCTAACCGGCTGTATTGTGCTTCTGCGGCCACGTGATTCAACACTGGACCATCGCATAATAAACAATTCGCGACTTGCTCAAAAATTAGCAGTGAATACGACCGGAGGGCAGCAATACTTGAATCGCTTTGCGCCGGGAAGTCGCCTAAGCAAATCTTTGTGTGGTATGGCAACAAGAAGACACAAGCAGTGGCGTACCAACTTGTTTTTGATGGGGGGGCAAGCCAGAACCCCCCCCCCCCCCCAGGGCCGGGGGGCAGTGCCGGCCAGAGCTTGCCCTGCCCAGTGGCAGCTGTTTCAGGGGGGGGGGGGGGGGGGGGGGGCAAAACACGTGCCTTGCTCCCCCACTTTGAGAACTGGGGGGGGGGGGGGGGGTAAGCGCCCCCCCTGCCCCCCCCCCCCAGTTCTCAAAGTGGGGGAGCAAGGCACGTGTTTACAGCATTGCCAAGACTTTAGATAATTTGTCAACCAGGAAGACGTTATGGCAGACCAGGCAAAACACAGAAAACTGCCAATATTCATTTTATCTTTGCCTCTGTTTGTGTTTTCCTGAGTATGTTGAATTTTCCGAATTTATCTCAACAACCTTGTATATAATAGCCAGATTTACTCAGAAATCATGTCACATCCCACTCTGGAAGGGTGCTTTCTCCTTAGCACGTGGGTGTGCCACAGCGAAAACAAGAAAAGCAAAATTGCGATATTCGTTTTGCTGTTAATGCAGCTAATGCAAAGGTGCCGGAGCTGGACAAGAATAACAGTAATGATCCCTGGAGAGGGAAAGGAAGGGGGACAAAGGACAAACACAAATCTCCAACACAGCTAGGTGAATGGTGCGCGACTGAAAACATCCACTGGTGCTGGTATCAAATAAGGGACCTCTACATTTCCAGTGGAGTGCTTTACCAACTGAGCTAACCAGGAGTTAGATGTCAGTAAAGCAAATGGGCTTTAACAGCTGCCACCAGTCTAACACCAACAAGGATAACGGCCTGATTTTAAGGTTATGATTCTAATACAATTAATGCAAAGATGCTGCGAGCTGGACAAGAATAACAATAATAATCTCTGGAGAGAGGTAACAAGGGGGACAAATGACACAATTCTCCAACACAGCTAGGTGACTGGTATGTGACTGAAAAAAATCTGCCTGGTCCTGGTATTGAACCAGGGACGTCTCCAGGCAGCTGTTAAAACCCGTTTCCTCTACTGACGTCCAACTCCTGGTTAGCTCAGGTGGTAGAGCGCTCCACTAAAAATAGAGAGGTCCATGGTTCGATACCAGGACCAGGCGGATTTTTGCAGTCGTGCACTAGTCACCTAGGTTTGTTGGAGATCTGTGTTTGCCCTCTGTCCCCCTTGTTTGCCCTCTCCAGAGATTATTATTGTTATTCAATGTGCAGGTATTCTTTTCACTGCAGTATACGAGCACATGGTGAGAAGCACTTTCAACGTAGCTAGCTAACCTGCGAGAACAAACCATGCGCATGAAAAAATATTGCGGAACTTCCGAGTACATTTTTTTGTACAATGTTGGTGCAAATTTCTAAAATTTTGGCAAAATGTAGCAGGATATAGTAATCACTTTGGTGCAGTTTGGCACAGCAATCACATCACTGAACCTGTTACAAACTCAAAAGCAAAATGACAAATCACATGGTCCTGACGTGCTTGCGCACCGGTGCGCGGACTCCAAGCTTCCACCTTGTTTTTTTAAGCACACCATGAAACTTGTCATTTGCAAGTGATGATAACTGCTGTCATGGCACTCATTTGCCACAAACGTGAATCCAAATGTGTGTCGACGGATTGATTGTTGGCGAGCGCGTGCGTCCGAGTGACGCAGTGCTTGTGTCCAATGCTTGAGCTGGGGTCGGCTGACGTGCTTTGCGTACTGTGGATGTATCGGAGTGAAAAGATAGCTTTCAAAGGAAAGGAGGTATAAAATAGTCTGCTTTATTTTCAATGTTTTGTACCAAAAAGCAGGTTTTTGAATTACTACTCACTATTGGCTCACTAAATGATATGCGATCAGTAAAATCCCAATCTAAAATCATTTATCCCAGCCTGAAATTCATTTCATGGCCCCCTCAGGTACAACATACCTAGGAATTCCAGCTGTTGAACTGTTATTTTGTGCTGATGTAGCATCCCGAAGAATGTTGGTTCGGTTTTGCCTATTTTTGTTTCGCCGGATAGGCCAGACAAACTCTAGTTTTGTCTGGCCTATCATTTCCATTTGAAGTGAAGCTCTTATCTGAGAAGACTGGTGGAGCAGCACTGGGATTGTTCCCCAAGAGAGTCGAGATGGAATTAGGGCACCCTTTGCTTTCAGGAGTATCAGGCCGCTTGTTAATTGACTTCACCTGCTTGATGAATGTGTATTTCTTTAACAAGTTTTAGAGGGCAATCTACATGTCATGAACGGAACACTTGGCCAACCATTTCATCACATGCAGTGGTAGGCTGGGCAGCTTTACATTCACGTTATAACTAGGGTTCCGTGTTTTCGAGTAAATCCAGAAAACGCTCGCCGGTCAAATTTTCGTCAATTCAAACTCATCCGATAAATTCCAAATTTTATAATCAGTAAAAAAAATTTAAAAAAAAATTATTCTACATGTCTGTTTAGAGCACAGAGTCATTGGTGCGGAGGAGAAACCACTGTGCAAAAAAGTTTCCCAGCTACTATGTTTGTGAGTTTATAGATTGTGAAGTATCAACGTTCATTGAAGCATGATTTGAAGCACCACTTGTTTGCAAGTTTTGTCGTGGGACAGTTAGTATTAGCAATGTCAATGACGCTAACGCCAAATCCAGCTGAAGAAATATCATTTGATGCTGGACAGTTCTTATAAATTTAGAGCGGGATTTTGAAAAACTAGAAACATAGCGAAATCCGTAGAATTGAGAATCTAACAGAAATGAACTCCAAAAAAACACCTTCCGTAAACTTCCTCGAAAAGCACTCTACAGTTGCACTGACACTTAACGAACTTGAGTTGGCTCACACATTATGTACATTGAATAAACTTCGGAAAATAGCGGGATATTATTCGATTCCCCCCGTCAGTCAGTGTGACTCCATCCCACAGACTGCAGAGGCTTCTTCGGTCCTACAGTGCTGTATGGTTGCTACGGTTCTACCATACTTTGCTGTCACGTTGGCTGCCAATGCAACCCCACATGCCTAGCGGCCCTGGAACCGTTGGCTGCTGGTCGCTGCGGCGGCAAGACCGCCAATCCGTCAACAATTCGACCTTGATTTGCTTGCGCTTGCAGCAATAGCAGCAATCAAGGAACAACCGCCATTTTGAGTTTACTCTGGGACACAAGTGGATACTGATGGATAAAAAAATACGACGATTGATTATATTAAATTTAAATCTCAAAATACCAGTTTAAAATATAAAAACTGGGCATTAAAATGTTTGTGAGCGTGTTTTCTTTAAGCTTCTGTTTATTATTTTGATTGAATTTAGTCAGGGCTCTGCAAACGCCATGACGGCCATGATGTCGAGAGTATTCTAATTTTTTCACACGTACCAACGTTCGTGGCTTCATGGCAATGTAATCAGTGTCTGGGAAGGTTTGCCTTTAAATTATACTAATTTGGGTGCCGTATTTGTGTCATGAACAATGTGTCGTAAGGTTGTAAGAATACTTAGCAAATCTATAAGCATCCTTTTGTTCCTGGTGAGTACGATTTCATCAAACAGGTGTGCTCTGACTGATTTCCGTTCGAGCAATATTATGTGTCGTTAGATCACATATTGCCGGCCAAAACGTTCTGTTACGCGACCAGCGATGCACGTACGAACACATTATTTGAGGCGTCGTGTCGTTTGAGGGCCGAAAACCAACGTCGACGTGATCCCTGGGTTAAAGCCGGTGTAACACGTTGCACATGTGTGTATACAGTTTGATTGCGATGAGTCAAGATATTCCTCGAATGCTGTGTTGTAAAGATCGGCCGTTGAAATTCGCGATTATTTCTTTCAAGCCGTCACACTGCTAACAGGATTGGACCTTGGCGGTGGCCAATGCGTCACTACCACCTAGATGAGTGACCTTCCCCGAGGTAATACCGCAATCGCCCATTGACGAAACTCCAAGTGGCAACGTTTGACCAGAGTGAACACTCTTCATAGGCACAGAGTTTCCAACCACTCGCACACCAACTGCGTCGATCGAACATAACCTGTGATGTGTTTTGTTAGTGGCGGTAATAGCAGTAAATTTTCCTGTCTGACGCATGTCTCTGGCTCTGTTCGTGCACGTGTAATATTTATTTTGAGACTTAGATTTCGCAGAATATTTTGCCGAGTCGCGCTGCGCGCAAACGTCCCGAGAGAAAACATCTCTTCGTGAGGAATGTTGTCACTATAAACAACTCCTTCTTTGATGAATCGGTGTGCAGTTGAAGCTATCTTGAAAAGCAAAGAAGACGTCCATCGTCAGAATTAAAAAAAATCGTAAATGCACAATCTTTTTTTATGAAATATCTTTTTTTATGAAATATTTAGACTCCAGAATCGGGTAGGAAACCTCTGTTCCTCATCTCTTGCTTCTCTTGTCCCAGGTTTTAATTATGATTACATAGTAGAAGTTTCTCACTTCATTCTACTAGTATTGTGCATTCAAAATTAAACTCTGCTTTGGGCTAGTTGGTAGCCCAGACTAGAAACGAACAAAGGAAGCTACACACATATACCTTTCTTCGTTCGTCTCAGTTTATTTGTTTGTTTCTATGTCATGCGTTCACTTCTGCTCCAGGTACAATTTATTCTTGGAATGTGTTTTTTTTTATTATACGAGTGGTCACTCTATCTTTTGGAGCTGTAGCCAAAAGGATTAGTAAATGGGGCTATAGCTAAAATTAGGCACTGCACATACTTGTCAATAGTTTTGTCCACGTTTCACGAAATTTGTCTATATACCATTGTCAGAGCTGCAGCTGCAAGTTACACGCTGCCAGATGTTGACTTTGCGCCCGGCCCAATGTAAGACCTACGTGGCCGTTGCATGTTGGATAATGCTAGGCTGTGCGATTCTGTCAATTGTAGAATTTTTTACCAAATAATTCTTCCTTTACAAGGTAAAATCTGCACCTGGCCACGAAGCAAAATTTCTCTTTCTTATTTTTTATTCTTGATTGGTGTTGTGCAAAAGGTGTCTACTGCTTGAGCAAAATGAATTAATAGGCATCCGATCAATTAACCGCATAAATCATTTGGGAAGTATTATGAATGTGTTTTTGAAGTGTACTGTGATGGCTGCTAAAGAGTCGATGTGGCATTAGCCCATTTGTCACGATGAACAAGACGCCAGTTGTTCACACACAGGTATTTAAAAAAAAAAAGGGTTCTTGCTTTAGTCTGTTTTCATTGAAAGGGCAGAATAAGACATCCCACGGATGTAAATATTCATTAATAAATTTTGTTTTCTCTTTTTGTTTATGTTAGTTCAGCTTCTATATTTGCATCACTCACGCATATAAAAACCGAAAACTAAAATACCGGGCAAGCGCCCACTCAAAATTTTGAGATAATCGTGAAAAAATGGGGGATGGGCGCTTGTCCGATCATCGATTCTACATATAAATGTACTGTGCATATTTTCTCAGATCTTACAAATTTGGGTATGGCCGGATGCACGGTATTCTACGGTAGTCTTTTTTTTTTTTTTGTGCATTGGCTGCAATTGTGGTTTTATAGAGGTAGGAACTGAGGGAGAGGGAGATGATGAGAGTGCGCAAGGATGCCAGAGTGCAAGCTCTGACTGGAATGATTGTTGGGAATTTGCTTTTGTCTCTACTTGCTGTTTGAACGTTGTTGAAGAGTGAGTGGAGACAAAGGCAGCTAGTTTTGCATTTACCCACTGATCATTTCAACTAGAGCTCGGTGTTCTGACGTCCCCACGCGCACTCGTCTCCTCCTTTTTCTCAGTTTCTACCTCTATAGCAGTTTTAGTGGGGTCTACATTACAGGCACCTTAAAGCCTCTTAGCCGAGTTCTTCTATGAGACAAAAAGGGCCCTAGCTGCTGAGCCGTTTTGGCACAGAGCAAGTCTTTTGAACCGGCAAGCAAAAGTCACAACTAGGGTTCTGTCTTTTCGGACGCATCCAAAAAATGCTTGGATGTGTCCGAATTTCCGAATTTTTATCAATTTGGATTGATTAAAATACCCAGATTTTCGAAGTCACAACGACAAAAAAAAAAAAGCGAGAGTCGGTGTTTTACAAATAAGCTTCATAGGAGCACAGGGTCAGTGAACCTGAGGAGATGCCACTTCAGTTTCCTTTGAAATCTCGAACTACTGACATTTGTCTTTTAGCTTGCCAAGGTTTCTTCGGGACAAAGGTCATGGTAACGGGACTTAATTTATTTCGTTTTTGAATTATTAAAAATTGGGAACACAGTAACATAAATTTTGAATTTCAGAGAATTGGGAATCTTACAAATGGGAATTCCGACAAACCCCGAATTTTCAGCGAAAAATAAACTCGGAAAAGCCCCCTTAAAATGTGACGAGAAATAAACTCCGAAACCGTGGAATCCTAATCATAACACTTAGAAGTATAGAGTACTTTCGCATGAGGCCATTTGCCATTTTGTTAGATGTCAGCACAGTGAAACTTGTAAGCTTCTTTTTATAACATATTTGATGGTGTTGAATGAATCCTTGGAATGCTCACCTTGGGCACATGCTAGACAGCTCATAATATATTTGAGGATGAAATTATGTCAATAAAACATTCTATTGTCATTTCTAAACTTACACAGAGCATTTGAGCACTAGTTTGTAAAAAGAAGTACATTCCTGTTGCTCTGCAGTTAGACAAGTCTGCACTTGCGTCACATGAACTGATGCGTGCATGTTCATGAAAGCATTAATTCAAGTTGAATGATGGTTGCTCACTACGTCCACAAAATTGAAATCGCTTAGTAATTGAAGCATAAAGCATTGAGGGTATGTTCACTTTTGTATTTGTGAGTGAAGCAGGTATCCTCAAAACCTGCTGATGATCATACACAAAACCGCGGAGGGCTCGGGTTCCAGGTCTGTCTTCCTACTGATTTACAAATGCCCAGTCTCTGCCATGCCCATTGTACATCCAGAGGCTGTACTCCTGGTTAAAATGTGCAACTTTTAACGAACATTCCTAAACTTCCTGTTCTTATAATGTAAGAATTGTTGAATTGTTTGAATTTGAATAGCCATTTGAGCCTGATGGCCCATGAAAAATCTGAGTTTTGGCCAACACATTTGATTCAAAAGCATGCAAGATTTAAATTTCTGACAATATGTGGCACTGTGCCAGAGTACTGTGCAGACAGTCGAGATAGCCAACAAGTTAACAAAATTGTCTTTTTTTTTACATTTATTGTGTTTAGTCTGCTGCCACCTTTTCTGTGAAAAAAAAAAAGAAGGCACGTGCCACAGTCATGGGGAGGGGGGAGGCAAACAACCTACAATTTTAGAATCATAGCCTAAACCCTGAAACAAGGAACAATAAAATAACTTGCAGCACTGCACATTTCTCTCTGGGTTTAGATGGTGATGTTCCCTATCCAGCTCGCTCACCTGTATACTTTGTTTTACAATGTCGGGTTCAAACAATGTCTTACTGGCTCTGCCGACCACCCAGACACTAGCATCTCAACACACACCTTCAGCCTGTGCACATCTCTACATAAATAGTGTCTAAAGTCCCCACAATTTGTCAGCTTGGAACTAATATTCTGCAAAATCCTCCTGCAGGGCATTCCATCATTATGTGCAGTCAGTTAAATTTAAAGATCTCCCAATTTTACGAAATCCTCCTTAGAGGAAAAAAAAAAAGGTGGAAACTAACACTGTACAACCTTCCTTTTTTGTTCTGTTTTGTTTGTTGTATGCTTGGTGTTTGGGCAATCCTATATTCTCCACTTAGTAATGCGCATATTTAGTTTTGAAAAGGAGGATTCATCTAACATTGTCATCTTTGGAAAATAATATAGTACATTTATATTAATGTGTATGTGTATATGCTGTCTGATGACAATATTTATTGATTACAATACGGGTATGCGGCAAGAATGGTGATGCGCCATGCTTGGCTTCTGGGGGTGGCTCGTCTTGGCCATGTCTTCGTCTTGGCCTGCTATCGATGACGCTTGGACTTCCTTGACATCCCCCTTTTTTTCTTTTAGAGATTCATCTTGACAGCTGGCTTAATGATGCAACTGGACTTGATCACAGTGCTTGAGTTGTTACTCTGTGTGCTGGGGCTTGTTTGATTGTGGCACATGTGGCTCTGGCAGTCTTCTGTGTGTGTGGTGGACATTTGTTGGACGGATGAAAGATGTGTTTCGATGATACTCTTTCTTTTTGTCACGATGACGGAGCGGGGTTCATCCAAGACGACTGCCTGAGACCCAGTGTCTGTTGGCTTCCCATACTTTGACTCGATCACCAGGGGGCATAGTAGGTGCTTGCCTGGTGTGCTGGTCCGCTTAAGTCTTCTGCAGGCCTTGTCCGTGGCGCACCTTGTCTGACACACTCGATTATTTCAGGCTGTACAGTGAAATCCGTTTAGAACGAACCCACGTAAAACAAATATTTGTTGATATCGAACTCCCGGAAAATTTAAATAAAAATGCACATAAAAAGTACTTTTTATAACGAACAACGTATTGGCTATGTCGAATTTTTCCCCCCCCGGAAAGGCTTCCAAAAACGCGCAAAAAGTCGTCTTCTAGCCTGTCCCCCCCCCCCCCCCTTGAAAAAATGGGAAAGAAATAAAATTCCAAAAGCTCAAGTTGCAAACAAAATTGAGCGTAGAGAAGTGATGGGGAGAAAGCTAAAAAATACTCTCTGCTCACACGCACAGAAAAAAAACACAACTTTTCATCCCAGATTGCCCACGAAGAGAACCGATTCAGAAGGGGAGATAAGGTAAAAAAACAAACTCTGCACACATGCAAAAAAAAAAAAAAATCAATTTAGCGCGTTATTACAACTCGGAGGCGAAAAGATGAGAAAAAAAAAGAAGCTCTCGCCTTACAACGAACGCATCGTGGAAGTTTGTTGTAAATGGTTTTTGCAACATTGCATTACTTGCTATATCGAACTGATCGTAGCATTTCCTGCTGTTCGTTATAAACGGGTTTGACTGTAGTAGCTTATTGCGCATGGCGACTGGAGTTCTTGTTCTTCTGCTGTAGAGTCATTGTGCTGGTGAACCCAGTCCTTATCTTCTTGGCGTGTTTCTCATGCTGAGTAGTGCCATTTGCATGTCACTTCCATCTAAGGAACATTTTCGGAGTAGGCCTTTTGCTGTCTTTACATCTCGTTCAGCAAGGCCATTTGCTTCTGGGTATCTTGGACCTGAAGTTGTATGCTGGAATTCCCCAGTCTTTGCTGAAAATCGCGAATTCTTGCAATGCATAGCATAGACCATTGTCAGTTTCAATGACTTTGCGGACGCCATGTGTTGCTAGCCATTCCTTCATGATGCTAACAACTTCTTGTGTGGCTTTACCTGAGAACTTCTTGAAATCTAGGTATCTTGAGTAGCTGTCTACAATGACGATGATCTTCCTTGGAAATAGAAGAGATTCGAGGCTAATGTCTCCCAGGGGAGGCTTGGTACTTCCGAGTGAAGTGGTTCTCGTGCAAGTTTCTTTGTCTGTTGCTTGGCATGACGAGCATCCTTGCACATAGCTTCTGATGTAAGTTGTTAGTTCTGGCCAGTATACGCTCTCTCTGGCCCTCTTTAGGCAGCTGTTTATGCCCAGATGTCCAGCATGAATCTGGACAAGCAGTTTCCTTCTTCAGGACTTCGGAACGACGATTCTGTCATTTCTGAACAACATGCCTTCGTACACCGCAAGCTCGTCTCTGAACGACCAATGCAGTTTTGTCACTTCGCTGAGCTCTCTTGTGCTGTTTGGCCATCCCTCTTTTGTGATTTGGATCACTTTCTGGAGCTCTTTGCCTTGGGTGATGTCCCTTTTGAAGTCTTCCATTGTTTCTGGTGACATGTGGGTACTATTGCTAGCAATTGCATGTCTTCTGTGTATGCACTTGCTGACTCATTCTTGCTGCAGTCTCTGCTTAGTAGGTCTACAATCACGAGCTCGGTTCTTTGCTTGTAGACTATTGTCAGTGCATACTGTTGTACATCAAACAGTAGTCTCTGCAGGTGGGGAGGGGCTCTGCTCAGTGGCTTTCTTGCGATGCTCTCTATGGGCTTGTGGTCTGTCTCTGTGGTTAGCGGTCTTCCATAGATGTACTGATAGAATTTTTGGCAACCGTATCGGATTGCCAGAGCTTCTTTCTTGATTGATGGGTAGTTCTGCTGAGCCTCTGTCACTGCAGCTGGTGCGTAGTCAACGAGCTTTCCTTCTTGTAGGAGAACAGCTCCCAGGGCTTTGGAGCTTGCTTCAACTCAGACAGTCATAGCGCCATTGACGGTGTAGAATGCCAATGTTGGTGCACTTTTTAACGCTTGCTTGATTTCGACATTTCGACGAGTGCCTGGCTCTGTTCTTGTGTCCACAGAAACTCAGCGTCTCTGGTCACAAGTTTTCTTAGTGGTGCTGCCTGTGCGCGAGGTTGGGCGTGGCTCTCCTTGTTGGTCAATGGCTACGACCTTTTCTTGGTCGATCTTGAGGCCATCTTCAGTTATCTCATGACCAAGGAACTTCACTGCAGTTGGTAAAAGACACAATTGTCTTTGTTGACTTCTACACCGGCTTTTTTTAGTGCTCCAATAACTTGCTTTGTGTATTCTTCCAACAGTTTGCTTGTTTCGGTATACACCAGGATGTCGTCCATGGGGTTGACAGCATTTGGAATTCCTTCTAGGATGTTAGTGACTACCTGCTGAAAGGCTTCTGGCACTGTGGCTATGCCAAATGTTACTCTTTTGAAACAGTACCTACTCCAGGGGGTGCTGAATGCAAAAACGTTCTTTGTGTGCTCCGACACTTTCATCTGCCAGAATCCCTTCTTAAGATCCAGCAGAGTGAACTGCTTGGCTCCTCTGACATGTGCAACAATTTCTTCTAGAGTCTTGAGTCAGTAATTCTGTCTTATCAGAACCTTGTTCAGTTCTACTGGGTTTAACGCAGATTCAGATCTTGCCTCGCTGCTTCACCACAACCATTTCGCTGCAAAATGGAGTTGGTTCTATGATCTTCTCGACAATCCCTTTCTGCTCCATGCTTGTGAGCTCTTGTTTGACTTCTTCCATGAGTGCGTAGGGGACTCTTCTTTGTGGCCTGTTCTGCAGACTCTTGCTTGCTTCTCCTTGATATCAGCATCATATTCAAAGTCTTTGATGCATCCAATACCCTGAAATATTTCGTTGTCTTGTGTCTTGTCTTGTGCATGGACTGTGTGCACTCTTGTCATGAGGTCCAAAACTGGCGTGACCTCGGAGTCCACAGCCCCCTCGGTGGCTTTGAAGCGAGAGCACCGGCCTACGGATTCCCAGATGGCGGATTCGAATCCCGGCCGAGGTGCCCGCAATCTGATGGAGGCTTATTACGAACAAGGTGACATGTAACCAAGCTTTCGGTTGCACGTCAAAAGATCCCCAGGTGGTCGAAATTAATCTTCAGTCCTCCGCTGGGGCATGCCAGATGCCTGTCGTTGGTTTGGCACGTAAAACATCAAAATTTGACTTTGACCTTGCAGTCCACAACAAGGAATTTCAGCTTTGCTGGTTGTCCACGGATGGTACACGTCTCACCTCGCCAATCACTTGAATCTTGTGATTGCTGTACCTTGCTATTTTCTTGACAGCTGACGGAAACACATGCAGTCCCATTGCTTGGACTATCTTGTTTGGCAGGACGTTTACATTGCGCACCTGTGCCCAGCTTCATAACTACACTGGTTCCTCATTTTAACTGAAGTTCTCATTACCACGCTGTCTTGCTCGTGGTTGTCTTAGCTCAGACACATACATCTCTGTGTCTTCTTGGTTGTCAATTGCATGCATTTTGTGTTACGTTGCGTTTCTACTTGATCGGCACACTGCGGCAGAGTGTCCCATCTTTTGGCAAATGTTGCAGGACTTACCGTAAGCAAGGCATTTTCTAGGTCTGTGAAATCCTCCACAGAAGCTACATGCTTTTCTTGGTGTTCCTGACTTACTTTGAGCTTGGTCTTTTGCCTCCAGGGCATTCTTTTTTCTTGGCATTGCCTTGGTTTTTCTCATGACGGCGTCAACAGTCTTTGTCTCCTGGTTTGGGATTTCTTTCAGCTGCTGGGACACTTGTTCGCTGTAATTCCAACGATAATGAGGTTTCTTAGAAGTTTGTTCGTCAGCTCACCAAACTTGCATCTCCTTGTGTTTTATCTCGTGCATGGACTGTGCACTCTTTTCACAAGGTTGAGGAATTCACATGTGCTCTTACCCAAAACTGGCGTTGATTGGAGTCTTGCGGCCATGAGAAACTCATTGAAAGTTTCGCCCTCTCGCTGTTTTATTTGGTTGAACTTGTATCTTTCATATACATGATTCACCTTTGGTGCAAAGTGTTCCTTGAACTTTTGTTTCACAATGTCTATGTTCTTCTTGTCATCCTCGCTCGAGGGAAGTGTCCTAAACATGTTTTTTCCGTCGGGGCCTGTGACGGTCATGGTATTAGCTACTTGTACCTCGGGAGGTTTCTTGTGGAACTTGATCGCTGTGGTACACATATACCACTTGTAGGTTTGTAACCAGTCTTCCCAGGTGTTGGGTGACTGCAAAGACACGTCTAACAGCTTCGGCATCTTAAGATCACCTGCCATGGTACCATGGCAGGTGATCTCAAGTGCCTGCCATGGTACCATGGCAGGTGATCTCTAATGAACCAGCGTCCCGTCTGAAAACTCATGTGAATGGACTTCCTTGGCTTGTATTTTTACGGTGGACTTGGCTGCGGCCATCCTTACTATTGTGCATTGTTTCAAGTGGGGGTCTTCTTCCTTCTTCTTGTACTATCCGACTTCTGGAACCATGTCTGATAGCGATGTTTATTTATTACGATATGGGTATGCGGTAGGAATGGTGATGCACCATGCTTGGCTTCCGGGGCGGCTCATCTTGGCCGCGTCTTCTTTTTAGCTCGCTATCGATGACGCTTGGACTTCCTTGACATATACCGTTGGGATGAACTGGTTGTCAGCAGAGACAACAGTACAGTGTGACAAAGAACACTGAATCATTTTATGGAGGCCAGGTCAGCGCATAAGGCATGAGGTGGTCGTGCATGTCAACAGCCCATCGTGATCTTCACCTTCTTCACAATATTGTCCTTTAAGAGGTCCCATGCTGAGCCATCAAGAAAGCTGGCAGGTGCCTGCCTGCCGGTTTGAGTAATGAACCAGCGTCCTGTCTGAAAACTGGCCAGATTGGTCGAAATGCCATAAGGTGGCATTCTTTGTTAAATCTGTTGTTATTCGCAGCAAGAATTTAGTATTGAAAAGCACCTATCCAAATCCACACTGTCTTTTGATGTTGTTTTTTTTTTTTGTACGATGTTTAAGCTATTTTGCAGCTGAACTATTTGGTCGTTTTCTTACAGTTGCTCTCAAGCTCTACACAAGTCTCATCTGATGGTGGAGTGGCGAAAGTCCCACCTGGGGATGCAGTAGTACCGTTGTCTTCTTCAAATTTTGACACCCACATTGGTATGTTTTTTTTTGTTATTTTTTATGCGTAAAACTTGTGCACCTTTGTTTTGTTTTTTTCGCTTGTGTGATTTTTTGCCTACATGTGAAGCCTTCCCAAATTACTTACCTTGCTGTTCTTCATTTCTAGGGCAATATGAGCTAGTCTTTCTCAATTTCTATGCTGACTGGTGCCGGTTCAGTCAGATGCTCGAACCTGTTTTCAAGGAGGCTGCAACAAAGGTTCTATCAGAATGTAAAGTAAGTATGTTTAAATGAGTAGTGTAATTTCTGGATTCGTCTTCTGTTTGGTGTCTGTTTTTTTAAAGAAATGGCAGCACCTATACTTGGCATCAACTACTCTTTGGTGCTACGTTGTCAGGGCTAGCGTAATTTCCACAGCACTGTCGGAGCTACTTGCGTGAATACACGCGACTGGAACGAAGGGACATGCTTGAACAGTAGTGCAGGGCTAGAGCATTAGAAACTACCTAAGCTATCCTAAGTAGCACAAAAAAACTGATGCCGAGTACAGACATTTTTTTTCAGGGGCGCCGCCTTCTTGAATGGCAGAACTTCCAGTATGGCCGAAAACATCATTTTGTTCTCGCCATGTGACTGGAAGATGTTCACGTTTAAAGCGTAAATGTCACTTGTTCTCGTTCTGCATCGCCTGTTTCTTTTTTACCTTTTCGAGATTGAAATTTTTCATTATTTTTTCTCGCACATACCCTAAACTGGAACCACTTGGCTGGGGACGAGAGTAGACAAAAAAGGTCTATAGATCACTTGCTTTGAATAGATAATGGTAGGTTATCTAGAGTTTGATATGCTAGGATGCTTGCCAGCTCAGAAAACCCACAATTTTTAGGAATTTGGAGAAAGCTTAGGAATTCATCAGATTATGCCTAGAGCCTTGGAAAATATGTTTTAACTGCTATTGGTTCATTGATATTGATGCATGGTAAACTTATTGATGGCTAGTTTGCTTTTTTATCAGTAAATGTTTTTATGAGTATTAGCTATGCAGTCTCATGAGGAATATGAGCCATTGAAAATGATTCTGTCTTTATAATAATTGTAGGGGTTTTGTTAAGAATTGTTTAATTAAAAGAATCTTAAAAGGCCTTTAGAACTTTTGTTAGTGACCATTTTCTAAGTGTTCTTACGAAGTGTGGAGCTTCTTTACAAACATTCTTGTAATATTTTTTAAAATGTTTGTGAAATAATTCTTTTAATCTCTTGTTGTCAAAAATACTCATGTTATATAAGTAGTTATGCATCAATAGTTTAAAAAGGAGTCATGCATTTTGTATGGTGTACATGAAATTTCTTTCAAAATGGGCTTGCACTGTGTGGCTCAGCAAATCTTGAATGAAGCCTTTGACGAGTGTTATGGAAATATGCTGTCCTATAAAAATGAGTCATAGAAGGCACGCTGCTATATCTTCTGTTCCAATCACACGTATAGTCCACAGGCTAAAACTCTTTATGCAGATTCTAGCTGTATTTTCTAAATTGCTCCTGTGAAGTCATTATTTTTAGAAGTTTAACTTTTCCAATGCTAAGTTTGGTCGTTTGGTAGAAAAGCAGATTCCTCATACTCTTTTCTTTGTTATGTTTGTATTCTGTTTCAGGAGCCCAACAAAGTGCTCTTTGGAAAAGTGGATTGTGACCAGGAAAGTATGTGACTTTCTTGTGACTACCTGTAGTGAAATTTATACCACACTACTGCCTAAAAAGTTCTGAATTAAAAAAATGACAGCAGACCTTTTTGTAACAAAAAATGTTGGGTTTGGCAAAACTAGTTTTTATATACAGGGTGCTTGTTTTAGTTTCTAACCTATCTTCTAAAAAAGGGTGACTGTTAAATGAATGCCATCTTCACTGCATGTTTACCAAGCTTGGCAGTCATTGGATGTGGAAATAACCTTCACAATCAGCAAACTAACAAAGGTTTGCCCATTGATATTTTTTTAAACAAGTAACTCAATGGGTCATGTTCAAATTGAAGTATTGATGGCAATTACTGTTGGATGTTAGGTCAATTTAGACATTTGGTGAAAAGGCAATTAGCTTTGAGATATTTGCCCATCAATTTTCACATTTGCTTTTACCTTAATTCTGAAACTGGTGGCAGGAGGGGCGCTGGAGTTCCTGTTCACAGTAATGTGCAGAGGAGTGGTGTAAGCATTTCGGGCGCCTCGTCATTATCTCTGCAGCATGTCCTTGGTGAATGTGCCGACAGCACGCAACCCAGTCGATGACGAGCTTCCTAAAGAGAGTATGTCACTCTTCTAGGCATCATTGTCCTTGCATTTTCGGCATTCTTTCTGCGTCCAGTTTTGGGATCAAAATTTTAAAAAATGTGAAAATTGATAGTTGATTCAGTGTTGCCAGATGCACCACACCAGTCCTAATCTGGTGAAATCTGAAGAAAAATACCTCGTTACCCCAAGCAGCTAAAAGCGCTACTCCCACCACATTAAAGCAGCCAGCACGTGGCGGCGTCAGCCGCCACTCAATTAAGGTAGAGCCACAGATTTAGGAGGCCAGATATAAAACAAATGTTTGCATAAAAACAAAACGCCAAAGTGTACGCGTAACGTTAGCCCGCCAGCTGGCAAATGACTTTCCGGCGTAGCGAAGGAGACAACATGTCTGTGTGTGCTTAAAAGCATTCCTTGTTGTTAAAAATTCCTTGTTGTTTTATCAAAATTTACATATTTCAGGCATAATAAAGTTTTCCTTTTTTTTTTTTTTTTACAACAACTTTGTGAACACATTTTGTGCAGTGCATCAACTATGCGCAACCTTCTTCTTTTTTCTGTTGAGGTAACATTACACCGAGCATGGTGACATTTGTGCTCTGCTATAGGGGATCACTGGATGCCATATTTTAGGGAAATGATTAGAGTGCATGCTCAGAACGAGCTCACATTAATAGGCTGCTAAGACCGGCAATCGTCGGCACGCGCTCAGCAGTCGCGCACACGGCTATGGCTGCCAGTGAATACTTCCTATATTCCGTTTCACAAAAAAATTGCGGTGGCTTAGCTCGGCTAGGCCAGGATATACGTAGCGTGAGCTTACGCGCACAAAATGAGAGGCGCTATCAAGCGGTTGCGGTGCAGCATCAGACTTGGCTACTGTGCAACAGAGGCGCGCAGTGCGTCTGCCGCGGCTTTGACGTCACTCCTCTGGAATGCGCAGACCGGCGAGGCGGGCGCGGCGGCGGCGTAGCGCGCGGCGGCAGTGGTTCCGGCTGCCAGCTGTGCGCCGTGTGACGTCGCTGCTCCTCGCGCATGCGCAGACCGGAGCACGGCTCATTATGCGAGCCACGCGAAACTGCTCAACCTCGACCAGTGTAGCTCAAGCTACAATAACTTGGCGAACTATACAGGCTATGGCCCCTGCGATTCGATAAAAGCGTCAGAGCGAGACACATGTCTCCGTGTCATGGGAGCGTTTGTGTCACAGCGCCAAATGCAAGGCCCGGAAAAACCGGCTTTTGTCTGCTGGCCAAGAGTCTACTGCGAAACCAACCAACTTCAAATGAACGTCCACCGCTGCAGCATTGCCATTTACTTTAGTACCGAGCTCTTCAGGAACAGTTCACGAGACAACCATAGGCTCAGTTGACCCACAAATCTGTGGCGGGTGCGAATGCCAGGGCAACGTTTTGAGCGGAAGCAAGCGATTACAGGGCTGCGATTGTTCAAAAACCATGTTGTTCTCGGATAAGGGTTTACAGTCGCCGACCGATTTTTTGGACCCCGATTATTCGGACATTTCTACCGAACCGTCACTCACCCCATAGAGTGGATGTATAACATTGACCTAAATTTCGGACGCTATAAAGCTCATTGCTCTATATTTCGGACATAATTTGTGTCATTTTCTCAGTTTGCAGCCACAAAACAGCCGCTGCAATAGCTCCGCGAGCTTATTCGCTGCCATCTTGGTTCTGTTGATTTTGCCCTGTAGCCTCGATACCACGTCCTACACAATAAACAAGCTGGGTTGAGGCTATACACCTTTTTCATTTAGCCTCGTACCCAGCCACGTTGTCCCCATATTCGGTATGCATTCCAAAAAAAAGCTAAAAATTTCAACCCGGAAAAAGAAAAAAAAAAATATAGAAAGGACATAACAAGAAGGAATGACAGTTGCAATTAAAATTTTAACATGTTCTACCGGCGAGGCGAGAGGAAAGCAATGTTTTCACGCATGCTGGAAGTTCCAGAAATGAAGATGGCTGCGCCCATGGGCGTACCAACCGGGGAGGGCAAGGGGGGCCCTAACCCCCCCCCCAGTTCTTAGAGTGGGGAAGGGCGGGCAAGGCATGCGTTTTGCCCCCCCCCCCGCCCCCCCTTAAACAGCCGCCGCTGGGCGCGGCGAACACTGGCCGGCGGCGCCCGAGGGATACCAAGGGCACCGCCCCCGACCCTGAGTGGGGGGGGGGGGTCTGGTTTGCCCCCTCACTCAAAAACAAGTTGTACGCCACTGGCTGCACCCACGTAGAAATGGTGTACAATCGGGTTTTCCAGTTCCTCTATGGCCAACATGGCCGCCGTCTGCCCAGCCCATTCTTGTAGCTCTTTCAGTTCTTCTCATGGTTCGTGTTTTTCGAGTGCGACTGTGAGAAGAATGGCCGTCTGCCGTTCTTGTGGTCTTTGAGCGCTAAGGTGTTTTGTGGATAGGTTTATATTAAAGCGAGCTTGGTGGGTTAAACGTTGTCTACAAAAAATGCAAAATGTCGGCAACTTCAACTTTGCTGTTTGTGCCAACAAAGGCACCGACAAAGTGCAGCACCGTGATCAAACCAATCGAGGAACGAGTGAAAAGTGAACCATATAAAGCGGAAGTTGCACGAAAACTTAAAATTGACATTGGGCAAGGGGAACGTGACCAATACACAGTGGATAATGCGCGGAAATTTAATATTTTGGTTGAAATCAATTTTTCGGACCGCTTGATTATTCGGACAATTTTGGGGTCCCCTCCGAGTCCGAAAAACGCTCGGCGACTGTATCCGAATTAAGTATCTTTGAAAAATAACATGTCTTCTTCTTCCGTGTTGTGTCGATAGGGATGCTGTAGTGCGAGTTCAATTGCCGTTAAAAGAAAAAGCTTAGAACTACTACCTCTCGCGGACGGCGCTGTGGCTGTGGCGCAGACCTTGGAGTGTTGCCACGTGCCTTGCTCCGACACCCTTATTGGGTTGTGGGGGCTGCAGCCTCCACAGTTGGCCAAGTTATTGTGAAAGGGAGCATAGTCCGTTTCACTGTAGCATTCTGTTGTTGAGCACTGTGCATATGTACCTAAAACTGATTGCAGTGATGAAAGTGCTGCGTTATTTGCGCCATGAACGAAAGTTTGCTACTGCACCGAAATATCACTTTTGCTAAGAATTGCGCCACACCTGCTCCGAGATGAGCCTAAAGGAAGGAAAAAGTAATATCTTATTATTGGCTGACCATATTATTTAGAGAAAGAAAATGGTACAAATATGTATCTCACAGTGTCCCTGCTCAGCGTATAGTTTATTTCATCTTAAAGGGACACTGACAGGGAATTTATGCTCGCCAAGTTTTTTATTTGTACATGACTTATGAGAGCCCAACTACCCAGAACACAATTTGCGGCTTGAAATTTCTGGTGATCGACAGGCCTGACTGAAGATCGCAGGAATCGCACATCTGAAGTCGAAGCACATATGCAAGCGAGCTTGTTGAGAACAGCATGTTTGTGTTTGTCCCGTCTCTCCCCACGCTCCAGGGTTAGTGTTCACACATCTGAGTTTGTTGTGCAAACTGGTATTTAATTGCTGTGGGTCAGGCAGATATTGCCTTGCAATAAGTGTTACTGCCGTGCGCTATGAGGCTTTCAGTGTGATAATGACAAATGTTTAGTAAACACCTGTTATCCTTCCTTCCAGCATCAATTGCTGCAAAGTACCACATCACAAAGTATCCGACCTTGAAGGTGGTACGCAACGGTCAGGTTGTGAAGAGGGAGTACCGTGGGCAGCGTTCAGTGGATGCTCTTAAAGATTACGTCCTGGGATTGCTGAAGGACCAAGTTAAGGAACTCGAAGCTGGCAACGAGCACGCTCATATTGAGGTTTGTTTGATTGCTTGATAAGTGCTGTTCGTAAAGTGAAACGCAGGGCATGAAATAATAACATAATTGTTATCAATGCTTTCCAAAAGCTCAAGTTGTAATGTGAGTCTTCAAACATCTGACATAGGTTCAAATATTCAACTATTGCAATCTTTTTTATGTCATAGACAAAAAGGTAAAGAACAAACTATATAGAGTACTGTAAATGGCAGTGTATTCGTGTGCAAATACCAGTTAGGAAGGTCGCTCTTGGGAAGAGTTCACGGGGACAGAATTTTTCATTCAGAGATAAGCTGGTCTTTGCACTGAATGAATTTTTTTTGTTTGACTTCTGTGATTGATATTTTGCTGTTGATTTTATCAACAAGAGACACAAAAAATATAATCAATGCAAAAGTTGTTTTCGATGTCCACTAGACTGTGCTAAAATGGACTTTTAACACATGTACTTACAGGAGAAAAAACCAGGCCTTGTTGCCTACCTTTCTAGCAAAGAACATACATTCTATGACACATTCCGTAAAGTGGCCTCTGACTTGCGGGATGACTGCAACTTCTATTTTGTACCAAGGTTTGTTCGCTGTTTGGCATTAACATTTTCATACTGATTTTAAAAATGTTTAGTGCGAAGTTGCAAAGTTGCTACAGCAGACTTTGTTTTTTCTTGTAATAGGCCTGTTCTTGATGGTAACATCACTCACCCAGAAACCATTCACTTCAAACCATCCCGGACAAAGGTAGACTGGTTGCATGCACATTTCTCACCCTTTGTTTTTACTTTAGAATTATCTCTAAAACTGCAAGATTGACTCCCTTTGTTTTGTAGTTTGGTGACAATCATGAAACATTCAGCAACACTTTGGCCACTTTTGATGAGCTGAAGAAGTGGGCATCGGAAAAGTGTGTTCCACTGGTTCGAGAAATCACCTTTGAAAATGCAGAGGTAGGTATACTTCTGTTTAAGGATCAGTCATTAAGAAGAGTGTCTTTGGCTGTTTTTTTCTCAAGATGAAGGCTTTGTTACAAATAATTAGAAATACAGTAAAACCCTCTTGGTGTGTTTTTCGGGGGACCACAGTAAAAAAACGTATAATCCAGGAAAGTGAAACAACTGATAAAGCTTTTGGGGCCGATAGATGAGATAGGAAGCAACTTCCACACAGCAATTTATTTGCATGAACGTTCCTAACTGTTGAGAACTATCATATTTATTCAAATATTGACTTTTCTTTTTAGCTGCTTTTTAAAACTAGGAGCCAACGTGCCAACCTACGAGATTGAGCAAAATTTCTGAGCCCATCGATCTAACATAGTTGCTTCACCGCCTCGGGCACTTCTCCCAGCACATTAGTGCAAAACAGTTTAACTCAGTGGCACGTACCATTGCAAATATAGTAAGGCTTGCCCCATGTTTGCCACAATGCACAGTTATAAACTTCAAACTCCATGCCAAATCAGACTAGCAGAAGCAAGGGAACTAAGTACAAGGGAAGCGTGCATGCATATTGGGGAAAGGTGGCAACATAAATGGGCCATAGCAAAAGCCTAAATCCCTTTTAAGCCTTCTCCAAGGCTATGCCAACCTTGCAAGAATGACAAGAAGCGCAGCTGAGAGAGCTGTGTTTGTTGTTCCTTTCGTTGTTTCTCTTTTTGCTCTGCTTCCCCCCCCTTTCCTGCCCTTAGAAGTGGAGCAAAAGGAATAACTGCAATAATACTTAAAAAACAAGCAAGCTGGTGATGATTCATGGTAATAAAACCCGAGACTCAGGAACACAGAAGGGGACGAACACGACACAATGTTTCAAACACAGCTGAACGTTTATTTTTCACACACTCGTTTAAAAAGGCGAGCCTCCCCGGTGCCCCCACCCGACATCCACAGTCCGAAGGTCAAGCCGCTTCCTCCCGTCCAGTCCACGTCAGCAGCCCTTCTCGCACACACAGCCATCCACATCCCCTAGGCGCCACAGAGTCAATGAGAACGTCCACGCAGTTGACTTATCATCCTCCACTGTCACCACTGCTAATCACCCACTCTCTTGCAACGCTTCCTTGCCCCCTGCCGACGAATCATACACAAGCACACCACACAGATATACCCCCTTCCCGTCCTCTCCCCCCCCCCCCTTTACAGTTGCCGGCGTAAACACAAACCTCGAAAACACATGGGGAGGCCCACCCAGTGAGCTCAAATGCGCCGCAAAGTAATCTCAAAGCCTTACAGTTTGTGCCGCTAACCGTCCGTCCCCCCTTGTACATAAAAAGGGGGGACGGACGGTTAGCGGCACAAACTGTAAGGCTTTGAGACTACTTTGCGGCGCATTTGAGCTCACTGGTTGGGCCTCCCCTTGTGTTTTCGAGGTTTGTGTTTACGCCGGCAACTGTAAAGGGGGGGGGGGGCAGAGGACGGGAAGAGGGTATATCTGTGTGGTGTGCTTGGGTACGATTCGTCGGCGGGGGGCAAGGAAGCGTTGCGAGAGAGTGGGGGATTAGCAGTGGTGACAGTGGAGGGTGATAAGTCAACTCCGTGGACGTTCTCATCGACTCTGTGGCGCCTAGGGCATGTGGATGGCTGTGTGTACGAGAAGGGCTGCCGACGTGGACTGGACGGGAGGAAGCGGCTTGACCTTCGGACTGTGGATGTCGGGTGGGGGCACCGGGGAGGCTCGCCTTTTTAAACGAGTGTCTGAAAAATAAACGTTCAGCTGTGTTTGAGACGTTGTGTTGTGTTTGTCCCCTTCTGTGTTTCAGAGTCTCGGGTTTTATTACCATGAAGCAAAAGGAAGATACCAGCCGCAACCCAACACATTGTGTCGGGTTGCAGTTTTTGAAGATAAGAACTAGGAAAGCAAATAACTGAGAAATTGCTACGCATATCCCAATGAAAGTTTAATGGGACCGGCATTCATGGACGTAACGGCCAGTAAAACAAACCGAGAACCTATCGACGATGCCCTGCTGTACCCTGTTTTTCTGAAGCTGCATTTCTAGGGCTGACCATCAGTTTTGCTTACAGGAGCTGACGGAAGAAGGTCTGCCCTTCCTCATTCATTTCCACCATCCTGATGACAAGGAGAGTGTTGATCAATTCACAAAGGCTGTTCACGACCAACTGCAAAATGACAAACGTGAGTATCCCTATAAACTTTGAACTGCTTCATAGAATGGGGTCACTTGCATGCCACTCAAATACTTTGTAAATAGGTACAGAAATGACCAAAAGAAACCTTATTTTGATCCTTGCAGACAGCATCAACCCACTCATAGCAGATGGTGTCAAGTTTGCACACCCACTACATCATCTTGGGAAGTCTGTGAAGGATTTGCCACTGATTGCTATTGACAGCTTCCGACATATGTATCTCTTCTCGGACGTCAAAGATCTGAAGTAAGTTATGTGCTATTACCTTGCACCTATGCAAGCTTTGCTTTGTCATACGTATACTATGCTTGTGTGGCACGTTGTCAACACACAAAATGCCTGTTGTCGAGCTACACAATGGAATGCTTGGGACTCTAAATACAACTTTGTAGGTGACTTTTTCTTTTAACTATGATTGCCCCGAGCTTGTGCCTCAATGCGGTTACGAAGGAGCTGGGAAATGATTGCTCCAAGTGTCTGTTGTTTTTTTAGGTGATTCTTTAAGATGAGCCAAAAGGATGTAATATTAGACCAAATATCCTCCTAATGGCTTTATAGAAGGGTCAATCTTTGTTTGCTATAGTATCACTAAACATTTCAGGGAAATCAAAGATTTTTATTTTTTTTTTATTCCCCCTTGAAATTTCTAAACTTTGTAATTTAGAACAAGTTTAGAGCTGCATAAAAATGTCAGTCTTTGAGATAAAGCAATGATTTATATATCATTCGAAAGAATGTTTTAATAATAATATGTTACATAAGTTTTAATATTGTAGCTATTTTCTTTTTTTTAGATAATGGCTCAGAAATCTAGTGACAAAACGTCAAAGGAGCCATGTTTGCGCATTTCTGACGCGAGATATATGCCATCTACAATGCTGTACATATTTAAATCAATAGTTTCCATGCTCTATTATAAGTGTGAAATATTTTAGATTTCTGATATTTGTGGTTTGCAAAGTAGGTGTCACCTAGCATGACATAAACGAAAACTTCAAAGATTGATTATCTTTGAAGTTTTGGTTCTGGTGAACTCAAAATTGTTTTGTCTTTAAATATTGTTTTTTGCAAAAAAAATTTTTATTACATTCCCCACACATGTTGAGGAGTAACATATAAAAAAAAAATTAACAAAAGCAAAAATTATGTCCAAACTCGCGTGCATGATCTTATCTGAACAGAGCCTATGACCACTCTAAAAGGTGGTTAATTTTTTTTTGAAGGTCACATTACATAATTTATATGATCAAATTTGAGACATGTTGGAATGCACATAATTAGCTTTTTATTTGTTTATAGCATTTACATTTTAATAAAGGATTTGAAAACTTCATACTTTGTTTCCCCCGAACATGCGAAAAATGCTTCTCAGGCATATGCAAACAGTTTCTTTGCAGAGTGCAATTCTTTCGCATTAATGCTCCTGTCTTATGAAACACAGAACTCCTGGAAAACTGAAGGCCTTCGTTGACGACCTGTACTCTGGGAAACTGCACCGTGAATTCCACTATGGCCCTGACCAACCGACAGTTGAATCAAAAGCTGCCCCTCAGGTATATTTTCTTTTGAAATAACTATTTGTCTCCTTGAAATTTATTCTAGCTCTAACCCTACACCAGGCTTCTCAAAGCTCTAGGCTTCTTTCTTGGTGCCCCTTTCTCCATTTGTGAAGTGTGTTTACCGACAGAGCTAGGCTGGAGGTGTTAGAATATGGGCAATCCGGAAAGGGAGCTTGCCTAGGAAATAGGTGATTAAGGAAGTCATTGGAGATATGCCACTACACTACATTGCTACTGCTGATGTACTGCCACCATAAAAAGGCTGCGCTAAATATATAGGGGGATTTCATCTCAGATTGTGCAAGATAAATGTTGGGTCCTCAAAAAATTCTGAAAAAAATATATATTGATGGTAAATGTGTGGCTAGAACAAAACTGCAAATTAGAACTACACCACATTTTTTTTTTCTTGAGTTTTGGGCTTCGACTGGGCAGCGAAGTCACCAGTCTTCAAACAATAGGGTGCCCTATTGACTGAAGACCGGTGGCTTCGCTGGGTTTCCATAGGAGTTAAGCCTTTTTCTTTTTTTACTTTTTCCTCAGGTAAGTTCACTCTTTGCAAATTTTTAGAAAAAATGCACCACCTGTGGACAACGCTGCAAAAAATCGTAGCGCAATAGGTTAAGAAACCGAATTTTGCGGTCGATTTAAAGGCCTGGCTGCTATTTGAGATACCCGATATGTGGACATCATAGAACTTGCAAGTGAAGCCAAACAAAAGGGAAAGGCTGCCGCTCTCGAAGGCGGTGGCACGAGAGCTTTAGCTCTGCTAGCGCTTCCTTGTAATAACAGGTTGTCTATAACCTCTTTCCTTCTATCACGTGCATGAATCGTCGTATGGGAGTCATTTCTAATGTTCATAGTGACTCTGTCTACACTAAATAAACAATCACGACAGCTATCTAAAAAGGGGATGCGACACTTATAGAGTTAAAAAGGGTGGCAGCATGTCTAAGTCCTGCTCAGCCCGTGAATTGCCCTTTCGTTCCCACTTTCTGTCGAAGAAAGGAGACACACACATTGCAGAAAAGCGAAAGCAAGCGTAGAAGAAGCGCGATGCTATCAGAAGTGCTAGTTTCACCCCATATCACTCTACGAGGTTTGGAAGGTGTGTTTGGTTTCGCAGACATAGAAGTGCCAATAGTAAAGACGGAGATTGGGAGGTTTCAACAAGCCTAGCTTAGCTAGCGTGTAAAGGAAGTTGTTTGAAGAAAGAAAGAAAAAAATAATGCATGCTTATTGATGTGTTTGGTGAGCCGTCGCTTTGAAATGTTTTTCCTACAAGTGCTCTATTATATCACGGGAAAACTTTTCAAGAGTCCTATATATGTAATTTCATATGACAATGCTTAAAAATTATTTAAGACAGTTTTGATTTCTGTAGTTTACTAGTAAGCAAACTGAACGTGCAGAAGAACCCCTTGCTATATTATACTATAAATACTTTCTACGTTTAAGTTTTACCTAACTGTGTGTGGACTCGAAAACCAATAAAGACTATGATCATGTTACAAAAAATAACTACTATATACGTGAGTGAAAAATGAAATGACATATATGGTTCGTAGAATGGAGGTAAAAATATGTATTTTCAAACACACTGCTTATTATGACGAAACCATATATCTCAAAGAAATTTTATTGCATGTATAAGAACACATAAAAAGCTCTTCATATAAAAAATTTCTAGAAATTGAAAATATGTATTTTTTTTAAACGTCGTTTAATTTTGTACTTTCAGCTTTTCTTCTCAAATTTACAGTGTTGTTTCTTCTATATAAACTACACTTAAATTAACAATATTATAATTTCAAAATGGACTTAGATACAAGCTTTCATTTGATGTTTCGCATGCGTTAAATAATGGTACATCGAAATCTAGCTCGATTCAAACTTGGCCCATTATGTCAAAGGTGCAGGATTCAAAAATTTGTATTTCATAAAATCAAATAAAAAGCACACTTCTATAGAACTTTAACCCTTCTATATAAAGTCTTAAAGCAGGAAAAAAAAAGGTATTGGTGTTGTGAAAAAAAAAGAAACTAAACGTTGCGAGACTCCAAAATGTGTCACTTGTAAAAACTGCAAAAATGTCAAGACGTATCTTCTGCCTTGTCGAAGCCCAAAACTCGGGAACAAAAAATGTTGCGTAGTTCTAGTTTGCAGTTTTGTTCTAGCCACACATTTCGCACCAACATATATTTTTTCGAGAATACTTTGAGGACCCATAATCTTTTCTTGCACGATTTGAGATTAAATCACCCATAAACTAAACCACACGAGGGCAAACCTTTTGCCATGCAAAAGCAATACGTAAAAGTGAAACATACAAACTAACAGGATGCAACAGGAAGCTCACATTTACATTATAGTAATTGCATTATCATGAATTATTTTATCAGTCAGTCATTTTATCATCATCAGTTTTATGTTTTGAACTCATGTCCATAGCTTTTACACTTCTGCACAGATCATGTCCATTGTTTTGTTCTTTCACCTACTAGAGCTTTCTTCCCCTTAACCCTCTCCCAGAAATAGTGTATGTACCTTGCTCACTATAGCCTTAGATGCTTTTGTGCCTCTAAAACCCAATCAATCAGTTATTACATTATCATGAATAATTTTATCAGTTAGTGGGGAAAATAATTTTTAGTGTGTAAGAACAACTTGAAGCTTTTCGTGGGCTTCTTGTCTTTCGAGTTTGCTCGTCTGAGTGCATGCCACTTGTTTTCCTTGCTGGGCCCCCAATTTCTCAAGCTTGTCTCCTCATTTTGATAGGACATTTACTTACTTCGTATTTTATGTTAAATGCTGTATTGTTTCATTATTGGCTACCAAAAAAAAAAACTGCAAAAAAAAAGTCATTTTTAAAAATGCCAGTTATACATCCACCAACATCTAGAGTATTTCCAGAAAGTTTTATTTATTTACACTGCATAGTTATTTTCGTGTAAATTATTTTCAGTCCACTGATGCTAGAGAAAAGGTAGAGGTTCGAGCACTTGGAACACATTTTTTTGTGTTCCACTTTTTGGCATTAATTTTGCTTAATAAATCTATGGTTTCAGTATAAAGCTATCGAGAGACTTAATTTTTGCGGCTTTTATATCGAAATTTTATGGAGCCGGTTATTATGAACATAGATTTTGCATTATCATGTTCCTTTCTTATGAAAAATTGTAATTTGTAAAACTTACTAATTGTGAAAAAACAAACTTTTTTTTTAGTTGAAAGATGCATATTTTGTGAAAATTTGTTTTCATGGTAACTGGCAACAGGCACGCCAGTATGGATTCCACCAGAAAAATATGTGGTTATCAACACCATTTCTCAACAATAGATTCATTGGTTCCATGCCAAGCTGTGCTTTACTCCGTTCTGGGGGTATAGTACCTCATAAAATTGCTTCACAGGGCTGACTTTGCATGCCCTCCTTCAATGTTACTAAAACACTCAGTTGGGAAACTCGCCCTTGAAACCTGGACTGCTGGCGTCTACCGAGACCGAGCTAAATACGATGACAGCGCCACCCTTTAGCGAAGAGTTGAAACATGAATATTGCTATTGTCAATTAATGTTCCCACTGTACCGGAACCCCGAGGCTCGAGGTGCCAAGATGGCGGCTGAATCTTTTTTATTTACTGCGGTCACCATGAGCTTTTAGAAAGAATGCTTTTGCTTGAAGACAAACGGAAAAGCTTTGTTTGTAGAAACTTTTTTTAAAGATTAGTACAGATAGATAGGCGCCATGATGTTTTCTAAAATCTTCAGTTTACAAGGTTTTGTGGCACAATTAATATTGTTTTTATACAACCATGTCTCACCGGTGATTTCAAGTAGCGCGTCCCGGCCCGGGTGCGTCCTAACTTTGGTAGTAATTCGTGGCGCGTCCGCTTGGGAGACGGGGGTGGCAACCCTGAAGCCCCTTGCACCGTATATGTTTCGGTGCCAAAATGGCCGATTAAAGCTGTACTAGAACAGTAACAGTGGACGTTATCGAATGTGATACTCCCGAACCAATACAAGCTGCCGTGCAGTTCCCCGAGTGGCCGCTGTGGGAGAAATGGCGGCGTTGCGATTGCTATTAGCTCGGTTCTCGAGTACAGATCGGTGCCACTTTTTCAGAGCAGGCTCTATGGCAGTTTCCCAACTGAGTTCTACTAGCGTTGCCCTCCTTCTAAATGGCTACAAACACCACCTGCAAATTTCATGCTGATTGAATGAGTGGTTCAAAAGTTGAAATTTCCAGGCAGTGTCCTCCCTGAAAATCAACTCTTTGCTAGAATGATGCTTTGACTTCACATGCCCTTTGGTAGTGTGTGAGGTAAAAGCATGGTTGAGATCCAAAGACTTCATTGACATAGAAGCAAGTGGTGCAGCATTCTGGATCAATTAAAATTTCACCACTTTCAGAAATTGTTTTTATTCCTGGTTTAAATATTTAACTGAAGTGTTGTAGGCATTCCTACAAAGTGGGTGAGAAACAAGCCTGGGAGCTCTAAAGTAACAAACCTTTCAAACTAAGCTTGACTTTGCCAGGAAAAGTTTATGCTTGGGTGTGTTTTTTATGGTGACTTGTTTGCCCAGCTCTGCAAACTGGCACATTCTTCTTTCACTTTTGTTTTATCGTCACCAGACACTAGTTGAGGACAGTAAAGCAGGCACTCTAATTTTCTTTTTGTTAACCTTTTAACTGTCGTAAAAATCGTAGTTTGCCTTTATTTCATTCAGCATGTCGGGGAAAGATCTATGCGCAAGCTGTTAGCTCTGATTGGAGACTCTGGTGTGTGTTCTTGTAGAGCTAGAATCCTGTTATATTCTGTTTCATCTTCAGAATGGTTGTGTAATTAAGGCTACAGGTGTATACCTTCACTCTGGCAAGTTCTCTCACATTGTTTGTCGAGGCACATTTCAAAGCATGGCACTTGGTTCTGCTACCACCTTGAAGTGAAATGAAGTGAAGAAAGTTTTTGCCTTTCTGATACTTGGTGACAAAGTATACATTCCTGACAAGCTAGATTCATCATTTACAATAAAATGCTTATTAAAGAGCCCTGTGAACCTGCTGTTGTTATCTATACTTATCTGATTTATATGTTTGTTTTTTTGTTTTTGTTTTTCTCAGAGCACTGATCCGCCGGAGTCTTCATTCAAAAATCTGGCTCCATCAAGAAATCGGTACACCTTATTAAGGGATGAGTTGTAATAGTAAAAAGGATTTACTGCATTTTTCTAGGGTGTCACCAGGGTTGGAGAGGGACGGGTGAATGCTGAACTTATGGAAATATATTTCTCTGTACTTAGGCACAGTTTTTTATGTTCTCAAAGTGTACATTAGGAAGGATTGTGGTTACTTTGAACTTGCCTGCCTTTTTTTGATTGTTGTAACAGAGACTACTGTGATGGACTAAAGTGCTGGATTGTGCACGTGCAGATGTAGAGGCACAGTTTTGTGAATGGTGTGTTGTAAATTTGAACTGCATTGAAATCTCTTTGGTTGCACATTAATGAGACTGCATCTCTTCTTACATTTGTGAATGCTTTGGCAGAGTTGTAGGTGGTGACACGAGTGTGCAATATTCGATGGTCTATTCCTTTTATTTGTTTGTCCTGTTCTTTTTTCTCTGGTGTTAGATTTTCATCAAGTTTATATTCACACATGACATTGCAGGCTGCACTGTAAAATAAAATTGTTTTTGTTATTTCTTTTGGGGTATCATGTGAGTTAGACTTGTTTTTAGAATGGTTGAGGGTCTTTCAGTACCAATTTACCTCTTGTTGTCTATTGAAATTTGTTTATTATTTCCCAGTCAAAAATAACATCACTTGAACTGGTACACTGGGATGTAATGCATTGGAATTGCAGTGCAAGAAAGGCAGTGGTTTTGAAGTCAGGTGCATTGAACACTATATATAATCTCCAACATTGAGCTTGATGATGTGCATATTTAGTTCAGCCAACTAGTATAGAGTCTTACTGATTCCAACAGTAGAGAGACTGTCTGTTATGGGTGGTGGGTTGTAAAACTAAACAGCTCTAAATTTATTTTTCTATGCCTTCTGATCGATCTCTCTTTGAACTACTGCATTTGCTTTGGCAAGCAAACTCCTGTATATTGTACATTGATATTTGAGCATTGTGCTTTTCGTGTTAAACACATTCTTCTCAGCAGTTTCAGACATTTGGTTACATGTGCGATTGAAGGACGACTGGACTACTTGGAAAAATGCTGAACACTAAAAATAAAAGATTGTCTTTGGGTACACTTGTTGGGACCAATCTATCCGATAGCTAATTGCAGTGGGGAACACCGCCACCCATGCCAGGTTTCCCGGGGTGCAGCAAAATGTCTCGCAGTTCCCTTGCAGATTGTGTGAGCAGACGACGGAAACCTAGTCCAAACCGTTTATTGAAGCCGCTTTAACAAATATTATTTGATTGAAACCGCTTATACTTTGTTTCACCTGACTGTGGACAGCAGTGGATGCAACGAGCCATTGAAACCCATCAAATGCCGTGCGAGTGTTGCATGACCTTCAGAGGAGGGGCGCAGCGACATGCAGGGAGCGTAGAGTTGAATTGGCTGGGATGGCTCGTGGCATCCACTGCAGTCTATCATAAGGTGAAAAGAAATATAATCAAACAGTTGTAGGTCTTAGTTTTGTTTGTTTGCATTTGTACTGGGGTGCAATACCTTTTGCCATTAACTGCACAATGTCACGCTTTTATTTGACAGTGGATGCAAAGGCTGCCTTTGTCTCCACTGCATTTGTGCAAGATGTTTGATGAGTGCAGTGGGGCCGAAGGCAGCTAGCTATAGGTCTTCCCACTAATCAGCGGTCTCAACCTCATTCGAGTGTAGGGGCCAGATAGCCCACCCCAGAAAGGTTGAGAGCCAACTGGGAGGGGGAGGCACAATATTTTGTTATTTTTAGACAAAAAATAATAAACACAATCAGGAGTGGTGTTGTGCGTTGCAAAGCAGCCGACTGTCTCACCGACACCCAAGTGATATTCTAGGAGAGCCTTGTACTTTATGCTTTTTGTAAGCTCACCATTTTGCCATCTTCAGCTTTCATTTGCATATACAATTTGGGCCCACCCTGGTGTTATAAGATTTAAAACGCCAACGTGCTGGCAGTGTTTAATAGAACGAGAGCAAGCACACTGTCCTTGCCCTGCCGCGCAATGGCTCAGCGGGCATAAATATCTCCTCATACAGCAGCTTTTGCTTTCCTGACGATTTTTATAACAGCATTATAAGAAAATACCTGGGTATTTTCTGACGGCCAGAAGTGCGAGCTCGCAGGATTATATGTGGCAGTTGCTCCTACTGAACGAGAGTTTGTGTAGCCGAGGTGCCTTTTTGAGCAAAGCGCTCGCACTTGTAGCCTAGTAGTGTTATTGCCGTTCCGGTTGATTTACATAAGAAAGGGCTGAGAAGCAAATATTTAGACGAAGCAATACTCGGCCCAAAAGAAAACAGAATAGTGCAAAATGAATGAACAAGCTATATGAGCCGAGCTCCTTTTCGAACTGAAATGAATGGACGATAAAAAAAAAAAAAACTTATTTATAGCGCATGTAGCACTCGAGGCATGGGAACGGGGGCTCGCAGCCGCAGGATGTTTGCGGGCCGTGTGTTTAAGACCCCGGCACTAATCAATTGAACCAGAGCTCGCCATTTGGACCTCCCCACGCGCCTTCGTCCTCACTTTCTCAACACATAGAAAGTGATTTGTTTTGGCATTTATTCTCTGCAAACCATCATTATTGTTAGTTTCCTTTTTCCCACAAACAATTTCATACACCAAACCATTAGAAAAAACTGTCCACAGGATGACTTGATGGCAAGCCTTTTCAGCAGCTTTCACCAGAAAGCTATGTTCAAGGTAAACATTGTCAAGATGGCACAATGCATAATAGAAAAGGTTTTAAGTAAGACACTCGGGAATCAAACGTTGCCGGACAGGTAAGAGTGACCCGCATATTTTGACGATTTGAGCCACAAACCAGAACCAAGTATTTCGTTATGTATGTGAGTAAGCGTTGTAAAACTAGGAAAAGGGGGGGGGGGGGGGGGGGGGGGGGGGGGGAGGAGGGGAGGAGGGAGTAGAGGGCCAATAGTGTTCACGCACAGGGCGCCTGCACGGGATATCACGTGAAAATATCGCGTCCCTAATTGGCTGCTGCCGCTTCCAACGTTTTCGGGTTGCTGAGAAAGTTGCCCTGTCTGAAACGGGCCTAAAGGGGAAGGCGCTATTCCAACGGTGCAAGTCGTGCAGTGCATTGCACAACACTTCGCAGACAGTGGACGCGCATATCACAACGAAAGACCGATTGAAATACAGAACACGCGAAACTTCGCGTAGATGTTGCCCTTTAAACGTATGCAAACAATACCCTAACTACGGTACCCGAATCAAAAAAAGAGTTTCGCCCCGCGTCATGGCGGCCGGAAGTGGCCGGAAGTGTAGACTCGCTAAATACCCCGGCAAAACCTTTCTTGTTGGTTTTGTGTTCATTTGATGTTTTTATTTGTAAAAGTAACAAAAGCATACACTAAACCTAAGGAGACAGCTCCTCATTTGTCTCAAAAACGTCGTCTGCTATCGGACGCCGCGCTGGCATATTTGTCAGACGTTGTTTGCTGCACCGGTCAATTCAGGTAAGTTCATTCTTTGAAATTTTGATGCACAAAATGAACCATCCTCGGTCACCTGTGTACAAAGTTTTCCCTCGATACGTTAAGAAACCAATTTATGCGGTCCTTTCAAAGAGAGCGATCCATTTGACAAACCAAACGCGGTGTAGCGGGTACAGTGAGCCTCTATGGCATGGGCTGTCACCCGGGTTTTAGAAACCGAATAAAGCATTATTATTATTCTTAAAAACCGCGTCAGTCGCATTTTGCACGCAACACTGCGCGCGTTGCTGCATTGTGAAACCTACTTGGCCATGGAGAGGATCGAGTGACGTGGTTTCGATCGATGAAGTAGTGCGTCTCAACACTGCATGAAAATAAAGTTAGCGCTCGTTTGCACTGCACCCATTCATCTTCGTGAGAGCTCCCACTGTAAAAACTGTCCGTTTGGACGCTTTTCTAGATTTCGGTTTCTTATCAGAGCGCAACTACGCCCCCGCGGTCCTGCTCCCCAGTGGCTGAGACGCGCAACACACGTGCGCCCTACTTCCCTCCATTCTACAAGGGAGGCGAGGGGGTGGCTTCGCGCCGCGACAACAGAGGGGCAGAACTGCGGGCGCAAAGATGCGCTCCCGATAAGAAACCGAAATCTAGAAACGCGTCCAAATGGAGCGTTTTTACAGAACGCCGTAAAATGCTGCCCCGGCGTTATATCCTAAGAATAGTTGATTTATTGGTTTTCGATGATGCTCTACAAGTTTTTAATTGGAACCATATGTCTATTTTTACTAATTAAAAAGTTAATTAGCGAATTTTAACTAATTAGCCGACTTATCGCAAAGATTAGCCGCCCACATAATGTCCGCCTGGCCGTATAACCCACCTGCACAAACCGCATAAGTGTAGCTTTTATGGCTTTTTTAAACAATTCTGAAAGAATAAAAAAACACCCTATATATATATATATATATATATATATATATATATATAATCCATAGGATTTGAATCATAAATTGTTTAGGCTGAAACAAAACGTAAACGACGCCCTTGACCTTGTCCACTTGTGGTGGTGTTTTTTCTTTTTATTGTTTGTTCACTTGTTTGTTGGTTTACTTTACTGCGTGAGAGTTTAGAAGAAAGAAGCCTTTGCCAGTACTTCTCTTTATTTCGTGAGCGTTTAGAAGAAAAAGGCCTTCGCCAGTACATTTGGCTAGTGAACAGAACGTCTCAGATATGTGTGAAGAGATCAAGAGACCTGACGAATCAGGGGCAGGCTCGAATGAAGTGTAAAAAAAAAAAAAAAAGAAGTTTTATAATGTGACTTAATTTTTATTTTAGAAGTGTTGCATCCCTATCGCCGTGCGTCACTGACATTAGCGCTTTCCAGATGCCACAATCCTAAGATAATAAACATATCTCTATAAGCAGATATCCTCACATAGGCCTAATTCGTCGAACCAACAGATATTTTTGTGGACCCCTGTGGCACTTATTTCAGGGAAACAACTTTGCCAGCAAGAAAGCGAATCTTGGTTTCTTGTTGACAAGTTTTTTTTTTTTTTTTTTTTTTTTATTAAATAAATGCCACAGGCGCCATTAACGCTGTTTTCTCTCTCCTCCGTTTGACGAATATTAGGCCTAAGTGGATGTCCGCTCAGAAACAAATTTCGTTTTTTTGTTTTTTTGTTTTTTGGTTTAGGCTTTTGGTTTTACAAAATTGCAGGTTCCACGTTTGCTGAAACAAGAAGGAGCAACACACCGCTTCGTGAGCTGTGCTTGAACACGAACCCCCGCGTTACAAGTTCGGGAAATTCCACCTCGAAAAAAAAAAAAAAAAAAAAAAAAAACTAAGACTCAAAAAGAAACTGCAATGTCCGGAAGAGGAAAGCGTCCGATTAAGCGCTTGCAGGAGAACATCCTTCCTTGCAATTTGATCACAAACTACTTTTTTCCGAAAAAGGATTATCGAAGAGAGGTGCCCGATAAACCCACTGATTTATCAGACAGGCACAAATTTAGTTGCAAGCAGTCAGGACGCGGCACCGAGCCTGGGAGTGCAAGTACACCACTGGGACCAGAAAGGCCTAATGGAAGCTCGTTCCCAAGAAACGGAGAACCTTTGGAGAGCTCCTCGCGTGGGACTGCAAGGAGCGCGCTTTCGACGAGTTCACTTGAGGCTCCACGATGGTTCGAAAATATTCGCCGACGCAGACGTCAGGAGCCTCGGAATGATTGGGAAAGGGATGTCGAAAGACCGTCGGAAGACCGGTGTGACCTTCCATCCAACAGAAGCGGAAGTCGCCCGTACTATTACCTGTCTCCGTACTTCGAGAAGAGGGCTGACAGCTGCCGCGAGATCAGTGCAGCGACGCGCCAGCAACCTAGAAATGCGGAAAGATCGCAATCCGTATACTTCCGAGCAAATCGCGAAGACACTGAGAAACACTCTGTTTTTGGTTCTTTTCAACGAAATCTGCAGCGCCAACGCAACACGTACGGGACGCCATGAACTACTCGACAGTGAGCAACGCACCACGACGTCCGTACGAACAATAACTGAACGTCCTTACACCTCAACCTGGACAGTAATAGAAAGAAAAGAAAAAAAAAACGAGGCTGTT